CACGTGATATGACTGTATAAGGAAGTTAGTCCAATTTCTCGTTAGGGCTAGGGTTACTGGGCCGCGCTCAGCCTGTCATTCCGCCAAATCTATATTCGTTATGTTAATGAACATAATAGCCTGGGGTCCTCAGTACAGGTAAGGGTTAGGGTTTCAGCATATGCTTTTGTTAAAGATTGGGTTAAGGTTAGGGTTAGGGTTGGGATCAGATATAAGAGGGTTAGGGTTTCGAATACAATATAGTCGTTCAGGGTCAGCTAGAAAACGGGTTGAAAAAGTCACGTGACAGTCGAGTGTAGAGTGATTAATCATCATCCCAATGTTTTCCCCCAGAGAAAAATTTGAAACAACGTAAATTTTAAATTCTCAACATCTCTTGTCATACGTTGTATGACCCGCCTGTATCGTCAGGACGACCACCATAGTGAAACGACCGTGGGGGTCGCAACGTGATACAAAAAATATCCAGTAAAGTTTCATTTTGAGCCGAATAATAAAAGTTTGCAATTTTTCCTTGCTTGCTGCACGTTGTATAATACTATACTTTTCTTGTGCACGCGAAGCGTCATATGTATGACCCGCCGCGCGTCCTGGTAGGTTATAAACCTACAACTAGCTAGTAAGGTTTGCTGGGATTGAAATTGACGGATGCGATGTTACTCGTCTAAATTTTTTCGAAGTAGCGCGCGCCGCTTTCTTCTCGCAATACTAATATATTGCCCGATGCATGTGGCAAGAGCTACGAAGTAGCGCGCGCCGGGTCAGACCATTAACAATGGACAAGAATTGCAATTGCTTCACTAAAAGCTAAATTATTAACATTAAAATATATTTTACTGTATGATTATGAATAAACGCGAGCTGCCGAGATTTATATTATATATGTACCCAAAGCATATAATATGTATAATTATAAATGAAATATGTACCAAAATTAAACGGAGAACCGTTTAATGATTAAAATTACTTTTGAGACACATCGACAAAATATAGTCACGCTATTATGGTTCTCATGGAGGAATTAGATGGTAGCGCTTTTGAGTCTGTTAATCTCGTTCAAATGTGTTCCAAGTGATTTGTATACAGTATAACATATAAGTGCATAATATTGATCATTGATTGTGAATACATTACATAGATTCACGAAGTTTGAAAGAAGTTACTGCAATGCGTACAATTTGGGAGTGTGCTCTCGGTGGAGATTTAACCTGCACCTTATGAATAATCGTCAAAGAACTTAGAACATTCTCAATTCTATCTCTCAAGTTCATTTTTAGTTATATTAACTATATTTACTAAAGCGTGGTTTAAGCTCTTATTCGATATGTGATTAAAGGAATGCAAAATAAATTTTATTGTTTCATCGAAAAGTTATTGTTTTATTTAAACCAACATTTTGGACTGCAAAACGTATCCTTTAATGTTCAACCTCATCTCTCAGAAAAAGAGCTTTGAGGTCCCTTATCTGGGGACCCAGGCTATTATGTTCATATATAGAGATTCGGCGGAATAACAGGCTGAGTGCCGCCCAGTAATGAGGTCCATAGATTTTTTTAATGTAAATTTTGTAGATATTTTACTGTAGATTTTATGTTGTACAGAATTTTACGGATGAAATGATCCGAAACACCGCTACTAGGGCGGGTAGTTGATGCACTTTTCACAAGCAAGGGCCACTTTGGTCTACTTGCTGTGAGCACTTTCAGCTACATGGGTTGGGGTCCCCCCTCATTTTTGCAACCAACTTTGGCTGATGTTAGTATGTTGGGGACAAATATGAAAAAGGAACTGGCAGCAAATAATCTTAACATCGGCCGCAGTTGGCTACATATTCAATAATAAAAGCACTTACAAGTGACCCATTTATGCAAGGGCTCATCTTGCAGCTAGAGGAGGCAAAGGCCCACCGATACCAGCACCATATTGTCGAGATACGTAAGTTTCTAACGTGGAAAACTGGGTCCAACGAACTAAACAGAAGCAAAATAGACCTTCTGACTAGTGTCCAGAACGGTGTTGTCAGCTACTCAAAAGAAGAAATAACCCGCTTCATGGACTTTACTTGGAATAAACATCTCCTGCTGAACCCCAGAATAAATCAGAGTGAGGGTCAGATACTGGATAACATTGATGAAAGAAGCAAAAAATTATTTCCTTGCTACTCAAGCAGAAGCACAGACAGCAAGGTTATGTCTCTCCTACATGGCCATGCCATCACCTTTGCAGCCTTCCAGGCAAGGGTGGCCAACAACTGCGACCCTCAGTGTCCAAATTGTAAGGTATTGGACACCAATTATCACAGACTCTTCTACTGTCCACTGTGCAGCTGCTCTTACAGGGAAACCCTGCAGGAGCATTCCTTTAATGACCAACCATGCTGGTCTATCTTAAGAGATGATAGTGATAACAGCATCACTGCCTTCCGCTCTCTAGCACAAATTGCCATTGGTGAACTATCATAAAGATGATTATTATAGTGCTCATCTCCTTGTGACATTTACTCTCCTTCAGCTTCTACTACTCACTCTACTGCCTCATCTTCTGAACATCATTATCTTTAGTATAGTTGAGGATTCTCAACACCCACTTTCAAGTCGAGTGCTCTCGACCCACTTAGTCCACATGCCTTGCAAACTTACAGCACGGTATTTGTAATGGTCTAAGTTCCTATTACTCGCCAAAGATGGTTCCTCTAGTCAATCGTAGGAGAAGAGAAAGCTCTACAACATATAAGGTGGCTGCATTTTGTTTTGATTTTATTAGGTCCTAGTAAATCGTCTTAAAGTTTTATGATAACTCTCCTTAAATTATTTTAATGCAGTCACTCAGATAAGTTTATACCAGGACACTTCAACAAAGACACATACTCTGCCCACAATAAGGGGCCATAATTGTTTCAATTATCAATTATGTAATGTATAGAATTATTATTAATTATTATTACATATTCAATATTGGATATTTTACTGTAGATTTTATGTTGTACAGAATTTTACGGATGAAATTATTGCATATTCAATATTGGTGGCATTCATTTTGAAGCAGTAAGACTTGTGAAAATTTGATAAAATACCAGAAAAAACATGTATCCTTAAAGAGTATTGAAGTATACCCATGAATCAATAAACAAAGACAATTCTTCATTAAAGCGAACAGTTATAATACCATATTATTACCAATTACTGTTGCTCGATACTATCCTTCCTCCATTCATGCACCATGGTGTCTATAACCCAAATGCAAGCCAGAAAAATTCCACAATAGTATAGTTGCTGTTGTGGTGCAAACAAAAGCAAATAACACCAGTCCTTTCACTTTTTTGTTTCAGTGATCATTTTGTTTCGTAGTTTCGTTGTAAGAATTCTCATTTTTCTTAATAATCCAAGTTCTTTTAATTGAATTTAAGCCAATCAAATCAAACCAAATAATAATGATACAACATCATCACACATCGTCATACAAAATTTCAAAAATTTATACAAAATTCTAGGTCCAAAGGCACAGTATAAATTTCTACCTAATCAGTAAAAGCAGGATTAATGAACGAATAGTGTGACATTGGGTTCTCAACCATGGAAATTTAGAAGTCCCTACATGCTGTTCTTTCTGGCTCCATGTGCTAGTTAGGGGTCTGAGGTATCCGAAAAATAATGTTTTGAGTACCCAAAGTGTTCTGGGTGCCAGGAATGAGGTTATTAAAGCGGCGAAAATGACCGATTTTGGACTATTTATGAGCTTTTTTGCCCATTTTCATGAGATAAAGAATCAGGAAAGCTGCTCTAGATGATTGAAATGGTTGATACCAATGAGGATACACCCAACACACATAAATATTCGTGATATATGTGATTTTAATGAGAAAAATATGATCTCAGGGCCCATTTTATACCAAAATTTGCCAAAACCACTCGCACTTGTCAAAGCTTCCTCATTTTAGACACATTTAATGATTATTATGGTATCTAACTTATGGTGGATCTGATAGGAGTATGTCTTAGCTTCATTTTAAGCCATCAATGAGCATGCTGGTGTGTATGAAAGTACTTTAATCCTCCCCTATATTGATATAGTCTGGGCCATGAATTTTCCCCCTCAGTATCTATCTAAAGCTTTTAAGATAGATACTGCGGGCGCATTTACAAACTTGACATCCTCAGTACTTTCATATATATTTTTTTTTTATCTAGACACTTATTTTACTTCGGTGTATTCCAACAGCCACAATGTTACACAAGTGCAACCAGCCAATTACAGGAAGCCGAAGGATCTTTTTGGCCAGTGACGGTTAAGGTAGTGTGTACCATACTTTCTTCGTCCGAGACTTTGCTGCAATGTGCAGCTCCTCATTTAACCCTCACACCCGATTTCTCGAGTATTCGGCTGAGTAGACCGGGGGGCTGCATAGACCACTCATGATCCTTAGCTGAACGTCGACGACGCTCACCCCACGACCAGGCAGTCAGTGGGTTTCGAACTCGCAACCTAACGATTGTAAGACAGGCGTTCTAACCAACTGCGCTACCTGGCCGCTATATACTGAGATTTTGTTTCAAACTTAATTGACTCTCAACAAAAATTGCCAGAGGAAACAGATAGTGTAACTCAGAAAGACCACAAATGGATAGTTTGTGAGATATCAAGGTTATACTCCAAAAAATTTACAATGATGTCACACCAGAAAACCCCTATTTTTGGTACCTTTAACCTCATATCTCGAACGCGCAGTACTGGATTGAGCTAAACTTGGTCAGGTTTTGTAGCCCTGACTATTATTGATCATATGGAACAGGAATAAAACTGTTTAGATGTTATATATCTTAATTATATTAGGCACTTAGTTCTAAAAAGTGAGGTTGTCATTAATACTGCTTTCACTGTAATTATATTCTCCAAAAACTTAGAACTGTCTCGGAGTTTTTGGCATCAAAACAATCAGTCTTAGTATATAATATCCTTTAATCAGATGATGATCATTGATAATGTAATTATCTCTAAATTTTCAAATCAATTTAGGTTATGATTTAGAGACTGTTAATACAGGCCAGTATACTCTGAACACTTCGCACTGAATTCCTCACAGCCAAGTGCAGTGGACCATCACATAATATACAGACGGAACAGTGTACTTATGACATTCCGCAAAACTGGAAAGGTAAAGTTTTAAAGCACTTATAGCTTCATCTGTGTACTTCTTTTCAATATACTAATATAGTAATTACTAATTACCTTCTCGTGTTGGTACCAGTTTGTACTGATAATTTAAAATTTTACACTAATTTGAAAGGAGAACAATTAATATGTTTCTTACTGCTCACAATGGGGGTGATGCAACGTCAATTAATGTCAGTATTCCATAAAAACCCCAAACTGACATTGACATTAATTGACATTAATTGACATTAATTGACATTAATTGACATTAATTGACATTAATTGACATTAATTGACATTAATTGACATTAATTGACATTAATTGACATTAATTGACATTAATTTGTCTTGAAATTTGAGATTATCATTATTCGATAAATATTCAAGATATTCACGTCTATGTAAGTTAGACCAGTTCAAAAAAACAAAATGTCCTTGAATAATTATGAGTATGTTCTTATCTGTTGATCCTTACGTTCAAAGATCACCAAAAAAAATTTCAGCTTCCAACTCTCCCATCTTCGGTCCCCACCGGCCAAGCCCATATTTTATTGGTTTCTTATACAGGTAAAATATCTAGAATCGGCTTTTTTAGTATGAAGGAGTAATGTTAGCTGTTTAAGATTCGTTATTCAAATATAAATGTCATGAAGGCATTTCGTTTAATGTGGGTTCTAAGTTCTGATGATGTTGAGAACCACGCCCTTGGACGGCCACGCCCATTTAAGAAAATTAAATTTCGGAAAACCGTATTATTTTAGTTTTATTGTTTAATGATCTGAATTTTTTTCACATTTCACATTTCCATATGTGATAGTACACAGTGGTCCGCGAAGGAGGGTCAGGCTATAATAGACCCCTTCTAGGTCATTTTGTTGTCTCAGGAGATGTTTCCTGGAGTATTTTCGCCCAAAAAGACGTTTAAAAGCACTTAGAAGACCTCAAAATATAACAGAAGGGCTGAAAATGAGAAATCAAAAAATTGATTTTTTTCCAAAAATACCCTGAAAATTTTAGAATTTGGCCACTAAATTTGTTTAAAAGGCCTGACTCAAAATTCTACTCTATAACTTAAGGTCCTCAGGCAATTCTACGTTGATTCTGAAAATTTCATTAAAAAATATTGAAACCCTATTGAGTTATATTATTTTAAGCGAAGTTAGTTTCGCGAATGTCGCGAACTGAGATATGGGCAAATTTGTTCATTTTTTGCCATTATTTGAACACAGAATCCACAGTTAGGTAGATATTGAGCTGATATTCATAGAGAATGTGAAGTATAGGCTAACCTAACATATAAAATTTGTCTCATACCAAAATATTGATAATTGGCCAATTTATGGGCTAAAATCTATCAAAATCTATCAAAATTGGCGCGTATGCCCAAATATGGTCATATAGTATTTTGCTCATAACTCAGCCAATTTTTATCAAATTCTGATAAAACTTTATGTTTGTGTTCAGGAGACTAGTAGCTACAAGTAAAGCACCCCAAAGCATGGCTTTGAGCATTTTAAGGTGATTTTGCATAATTGGGACAATCGGGACCAAATATGGGCGTGGCAGATTTTTTTGAAAGTCCCAGCTAGTCCCAGGTTGAATTTTTTATGGCTAGTTAGATAATTATCTGAACTTTAGGATGCCATAGGTGGCTTAGGCGCACTCGAGCGCACTACCTAACATTTTTTTATTTTAAAACCAAAATTTTGGTTAAAAAGTGGGTCTAAAATTTGAGGGTACATGAAAAATCAACCAAAATAGGTATCAACATGATTTTTTTTTCATTAGACAGGTATTCGAAACGTTAAACAGCAACAACAAGAGTAAGTAAATGCAAATAAACACTGCTTTATGAATATCCAGTCAGATGTAGGCCAATTTTTACTGCCAATTGCTTGAATTTCGGACTGTGTAAAAAAATCGTTAATATTATCGTACGCCATTTCCACATTTTGAAAGATTTTTAATTATCGTCTTCAGCATATGTACCGGCTGATAATTTATGATAAATAACAAATAAATAAACAGAATTTCATGACACTCGATTTTGGGTCAATTATAGCCTGGTGGACCACTGTGTAGTAGTGAATAAATTGATGATATAAACGTTCTAAAGTGCTAAAAATATGGTAGAACTACATAATCTCTGGTCGAAAAATATCGTGTCAATTAATGTCAGTATTCCAAAATTTTGCAAAACTGACATTGACATTAATTGACATTAATTGACATTAATTGACATTAATTGACATTAATTGACATTAATTGACGTTGCATCACCCCCCTCACAATTAAAATAGCCCTTTATAGAAGTTTATAAAAGTTGTAAACTGGTTTCTAGGACCGTAAAAACTCAAGGACATTGTATGTCATATTCACAAACATAGCTTTTTTAGTCACATTCTATTTATCAGGATTTTACATTTCAGTTATTGACGCTAGTTGGCTTTGTAATATGCTTATCCTTGCTGGGCATACTGTATGGAAATCTATCCACTATTACTGAAGAAAGAGATCATATTTTAGTGAAGAAGAATGAAATCAAGCATGTAGCTGATGGTAAAGTTAAAGGACCAGTTAACTGAAAAATTTGTAGTCTCCAATTTGGCTAAGATTTGAATCAGCTGTGACAAACTGGTAAAGAATCGTATCGCCGAAAGAACCAATTCTCTAGCGTACGTGTAACCCGTGTTATTGCAATAATAAGCTGTGGCGTCGTGACGTCATAAAGTCCCTCAGTGCGCGCTTGCATAGCGTAATACATTGCAAATGTTTATCATCATCAATAAAACACGTGTAACTCACTCAAATTTTAGAATTATGACTATTACCCTAGTTCTCCAAAATCCTTATAGTTTTGGCTATCATCCTAACTAAAGGAATAGCTGATTGTATGTACAGTGCTCACGTCATGATTTTAAACAGTGACATAATTTCTTGAACAGTGGCGGGTGAATGTACGGTTAGAAAGTTTCTGCTATTACAACTTATGTTATATAATGTGATAATTTTGGATTGTTTTCATTGCTTAATTACACAAGCAGGGAGACTGTACCGATTATTTTTCCCCAGTCCATGAAACTCTAACGAATTTAGAAAGGATCTAGATAAGTAGGAGTTTGTTCAATTCCGAGAGCAATTATATTTATATCATAGCGGAATTTCTAACTTTAATCCACATGTGTCAGCCAGTACAGGAGACAAGAAGTCTGGCTACTTTACGGCCGTTCCTCTGGGACCATTAGTTGAAGTAGCTATTATCAGAACAGTGCCGTGGGAACAGAATCCCCGCCAAAATACCCGGTCTACCAAATAGTAATACTGATTGGTGTGTACGGTGTGCGGTGTGTTTTGAATTAGACTTACGGCTTACCTAGTTGTTATCCTAATTGTATTATCATCGGTACATAACATAAATAAACTACTGGTAAGTTTAAATACCAAGTGCAAACGTGTTCAGTCAATCGACCCACTGAACAACTATAGAATTTCCAAGACCCTATTATTCTCTGGCCATATATTACGGCACGATCGATTGTTAGATAAGATGGCTAAACGACCAACGTTAATCTATACAATTCTAAAACTATGAGCACTTTAATCTAAAAATACACTTTTTATATTACTCCTGATTTTTACATTTCACGTTAAACATTGTCGCCACAGGTTGATCATGGACACTAACAGCTTAATTTGAGATAAATGACTTATGAGTTTCTCTAAAGTTAACTCTAAAGTTGTGTAGTCCAGTCATTTATGGACATTTATGGAAATGAACCTGCAAATGTTCAAATACTCACGAAACTTTGCACAGACCTTCCTGAAGGTATGAATAAACGATTTTCGTTTGGAGACATTTTTTGACCGTGGAGAAAACCCAAGAGGGCCACGCCCATATTGACCCAATAACGTAACCGACCCCTTGCTTCTGAAGGTCGTAGAGACTTCAAAATAGGCTTAAACCAAGCGGCATATGCATGTTTATATAGGAGTTACTGAGCAACACATGGCCTAAAACCCTTACTTTTCGAGAAATTTGCCAAAAACCATTTTGGGCGTGGTGCTGAGCCCATTTTCGATAGGATCTTTAGACAGGATGCAAAAGAACCGCAATTAGCATATTAATATATGACTTACGAACAAACATATGCCTTAAAGTGCTTACTTTTTCAGTTATTGGCGAAAAACTGATTTTCGGTTCCAGAAATCATGCTAAAATATGGGCATCTCGTAAATTGGGCTATGAAGGCCCTACAGATTTTTAAATGAGTGCAAATTGTGCAGAATGGCCATGTTTATATACAACTTATGAAGCAACATGTACCCTAAAATACTTACTTTTCGAGTTATTTGGGGGAGAAACATTGTATTATGTCCATTTTCTACCTGTAAAATACAGTCTCACGAGCTACTCTGTGCGCGCAAGGGACTTTATGACGTCATCGCCAAAATAATACAAACGCTAATTACACGCGTTAGAGAGCAGTTAGAGATTTAGGAATTTCGACACGTTGCTTAGTTTGCTATTTGTCACAATCTGTCAAAATATGAGGATAACTTTTTTTTCAGTTAACTGGTCCTTTAATGTAATTTTATTAGTTTAGTCTGAGAATTTTATCCTTTAAAGCAGATCATGATAATGACTTAGTGTACAGTTACACTTGTCACAATGTTCAGTTTATAAATTTGTATCTATAAACAAGATAATGTAATGAAATTTCAGAGCTCAATACCAGGATAAGCAGCCTGCAAGAAAAGATCACCAGACTCGAGAGTTCCCTTAACCAGTGCAATGCAGGTACAATTTCATAACAAGGTCATAGTATAATATTGTATAGTATAGTATTATGTTTGCGGTAAACTTCAATGTATGAATTAGTTATAACATAGTCCATTACATATGTTACAACTAAGAACAGTTCAGAGTTGTATAGGTCTAAAATTAAGTTTTGTTTAAAGTTTACAATAATGCATTTAACAACCTAATAGTTTTTACTAATAATTTCTATAAGTCTAAAGATTTGCAGTGTGCCTAATCAATATAGTAATGTATAAAAATTGTTAATATGTGAGTTGATACTAAACTATCTGTTCCAGCTAAACTAGAAGCCGAGGAAGGTAAAAGCCTTCTTCAACAAGAGACAGACACTTTAAAGGTTACTTTTTTATTTATGATGTACAATTGAAAATGCAAATTTAATTCAATAGTTCAAACTAATGATATAACAAGAATCCCAAGATATAATTAAACAATTTTAGGAGTGAAAGCTTACTAATAATCAATTTAATGATTATTTTCTGTAGTAGTATTCTATGTCCGCGTCCGTTGAGTTGGGTGCCTCACTTGAGAAGGGCATCTCACTTGAGAAGGGCATCTCGCTTGAGAAGGGCATCTCGCTTGAGAATGGCATCTCGCTTGAGAATGGCACCTCGCTTGAGAATGGCATCTCGCTTGAGAATGGCATCTCACTTGAGCTGGGTTTAGTAGGAGCAGCAGTTGGTTCAGGGCAATCTGTTTCCAACACAAAGATATACATGGTTGTATTGTACTGTACGATATACGCTCCAGAATTGGCGTGGGTTGCCTGAAATATATGTGTAAATATTTCGCTGGACATGTTGGTGCAATGATGCTGTTACGTAAGCTGCCAAAAGGTTACTGGTAGATATTTAAAGTGATTTAAAATTTAATTTTACCCCTGCTGCAGTTGGTATGTAATATCTAGATCGATAACACTTTTCTGTACTAAAACAATGAACTTTTAACTAATGAGAAGTTACTTACATTGACAATGTGGAACAAGGCATTGATCATCATGGCCCCCTTCCGTTTCTTGCCCTTACCACCACGTTTTTCAACTGGAACAAGCTGGACCTCCACATGAACATTGTCTTCTAGAGTCTCGTTTCTTGAGTTAAACACTGATAACTGTTCTGGGTCAGGTTTACCACCAGCTGAAATATTTTGTTTTAAATTATAAAATACAGAACTTTTGTGAATATTAGTCAGTTTGACTTGTAATGATCAGAGTGTAAAGATACGAAATAGCATTATTTAATTAAATAAGGAGGTTACTATGGTGTTTAACTAAGACTGTTGTTGAACTCACCAACTTTGATAACAATAGGAAATGTTTGTGCTCCTCCACAAGTAACATTAACCATATCTGGGACCAGTATTATAACATCCTCTCCTACACTTCTAGCCAGGGAACTAGTCACTAGGACACACAGTACTGCTGCAAACAACATTTCTACTTGGGGACTTGTTAATTACTTGTTAATTACTTATTAATTACTTGTTAATTACTTGTAACTACTGGGATATCAAGCTAGCCTTGTTGTTATAAAATAGTGATAAAATCCGAGATAATGATAAGGAGCAGCCTGGATATCAAGAGAATTAAGAATTTTGTAACAGAATGACATTTCGCTAAGGAAGCGCATCTCACTAAGGAAGCACATCTCACTTGAGAATGGCATCTCAATTGAAAATGGCATCTCACTTGAGAATTGCATCTCCCTTGAGAATGGCATCTCACTTGAGTATGGCATCTCACTTGAGAGTGGCATCTCACTTGAGAATGGCATCTCACTAAGGAAGCACATCTCACTTGAGAATGGCATCTCAATTGAAAATGGCATCTCACTTGAGAATGGCATCTCCCTTGAGAATGGCATCTCATTTGAGTATGGCATCTCACTTGAGAGTTGCATCTCACTTGAGAATGGCATCTCACTAAGGAAGCACATCTCACTTGAAAATGGCATCTCACTTGAGAATGGTGACTCACTTGAGAATGGCATCTCACTTGAGAATAATGCCTGTGAAACATTGGAGGATGCAAGGGCACTGCACCAGGTAAAATAAACTGGTATGATGACTTCTTATCGAAAGTGAAAACTTCAAATTGTTTAATGAAGATCTGAAGTTTGAGCACTGTTTTATAGAGATAGTAGGTTTAGGGTAGGCGATAGTTGTAGCCGAGGTGTCAAAATAACAGGGCTAGGATCCTTTGTTCTTTTTGTTGTGCTGTATCTTCTAACAGTTCAACAGTCAACACGTGCAGGTTAAAACTAAAGACTAGTGATAAATTAATTAATATTTGGTGGGTGTGTTAGAAGTGCTAAGTTCATTATCTTTCTTCAATAGCTGGTTCTCCGTTCACTTAACAGACCTTATACGTCAGCCGGGCCTCATTGTTAGCTTGTCAGAGTTTAAAACCTCACTCCATTGTCTTTTATTTGTTGAGATGTGAAAGTTTCATCCAGGATTAAATTTGACCATATCTTTAACAAGTTTTTAGTCAATATCCCGACAGACTGATCTTGTATCCGATCAGCTCTTAAGTTTTATTCACTGAAAATTTCAAGGGAGCTGAATTTTCTAACTTTGTTTTCACCTCTCACGGCAGCGAGCTCCTTGTCCTAAACACACCCTAATTCCGCTGTCAATTGTGCCACCACCTGTATGAAGTGCTACATCTTGCACGTCTAATATTAAAGATGAGGGCGTGTCCATCTGTTTTACAGTCTCAACTAGGGCTCTTCTCTACCAATCCTACAAATTACTACTCTCTTTGTAGAGCGTGCACTGTGCAGTGGAGTAGAAAACATTGTCATAAAGGGAAGGGGATAGTTGCTGTTCTTTATTTCGCCAAATTTTATTATCTGTAATGTTTATATATAATCGTATCCGCTGTTTCAGAGCGAGATTGAGTACAGGAAAATATCAGATGATAATGTTAAGTCCAGTTACGATCAAGAAATCCAACAATTGAAAGGTTAGTCTCATGTGGACACTTCATAAGCTACCAACTTTTAACTAATCAGTAAAAAGTTACACTAGTTGTTGCGCTCACCACCTAAATTCATCTTATTACCACCTATTTACCACCTATTTACCACCTATTTACCACCTATTTACCACATAGTTACCACCTAGTCACTACTTAGTTACCACCTATTTACCACCTAGTTACCACTTAGTTACCACCTATTTACCACCTATTTACCACTAATTTACCACTTTAAACCTACCACTCCACGCACCACAGCCCAAATTGTTGAGAACCAGCTGGAAGGGTCCCAGCACCGTGAAGCAGCTGAATCTTGTACCTTCTCTGTAGAAGAGTACCAGGATAAACTGGTCCTGTACAAGAGCCGTATTATGAGGCTAGAGGGCACGGTGGCAGACTGTATCATTGAGAAGGTTAGAGGGGGAGTAGTGACTTATGAGACCTTTTGTACATGTGATGGAAACTGAGATGACACGTATTAAGAAGGTGCACGATGTGTTAAAAAGTCGTCATGATGATATGTTAAAAGAGACATGTGTTATAAAAAGGCATGTGAAAAAACAAAAATGTGTTTAAAAGATAAAACCACGTCGTGAGGCATGTGATGGAATGGATACGTGATTTAAAGCTTAATCATGAGTTGATCTGCAGTAGTTCTATCTTTCTATCCAGTCTGCCTAATTTAACTATGCATGGTTTATTTGAGTCGCATCTTACCGTACCCTAGCGCCGCATGTTTAAATATAAGTTAATTATCTAAATAACAAAGAAAGGGTTTAGGGTATTTTGAGGAGGTTTGGGCTTCTCACATGAACAGTCTGCCGCCGGCTACCTTCTACCTTATAACCAGGGTCACAGCTCACAGTACATAGTGAATACTCACTGTATCCACCTTATAACCAGCTCCTTTAACTAACCACATAGTTTGCATATTATCATCACATAGTAACCACATGATTAACTTAACCACATAGTTTCCACATAGTTACCACATAGTTACCACATAGTAACCAAACAGGTATCACATAGTTACAACACAGTTACCACATAGATACCACCTAGTTACCAACTAATTACCACCTAGTAACCACACAGCTACCACCTAATAACCACACAGTTACCACATAGATACCACCTAGTTACCAACTAATTACCACATAGTTACCACCAAGTTACCACATAGTTACCACATAGTTACCAACTAATTACCACCTAGTTACCACCTAGTTACCACATAGTTACCACCTAATAACCACACAGTTACCACATAGATACCACCTAGTTACCAACTAATTACCACATAGTTACCACCAAGTTACCACATAGTTACCACATAGTTACCAACTAATTACCACCTAATTACCACACAGTTACCACACAGTTACCACACAGTTACCACCTAGTTACCACATAGTTACCACATAATTACCACATAGTTACCACCTAGTTACCACCTAGTTACCACACAGTTACCACACAGTTACCACCTAGTTACCACATAGTTACCACATAGTTACCACATAGTTACCAACTAATTACCACCTAATTACCACACAGTTACCACACAGTTACCACCTAGTTACCACATAGTTACCACATAGTTACCACATAGTTACCAACTAATTACCACCTAATAACCACACAGTTACCACATAGATACCACCTAGTTACCAACTAATTACCACATAGTTACCACCAAGTTACCACATAGTTACCACATAGTTACCAACTAATTACCACCTAATTACCACACAGTTACCACACAGTTACCACACAGTTACCACCTAGTTACCACATAGTTACCACATAGTTACCACATAGTTACCACCTAGTTACCACCTAGTTACCACACAGTTACCACACAGTTACCACCTAGTTACCACATAGTTACCACATAGTTACCAACTAATTACCACCTAATTACCACACAGTTACCACACAGTTACCGCACAGTTACCACCTAGTTACCACATAGTTACCACATAGTTACCACATAGTTACCAACTAATTACCACCTAGTTACCACATAGTTACCACGTAGTTACCACATAGTTACCAACTAATTACCACCTAGTTACCACCTAGTTACCACATAGTTACCACCAAGTTACCACTACAGCTCAGCTCACAGACACTGAACTTGACAAATCAAGTCACAAAGAAGAGTCTGAGGCGTGCCAGAACACAAACGAAGACTTGCTGGCTCAACTGAACGCTGGTAAAGAACGGACGAGTCAGTTAGAGAAGTCAAGCCAGGAATGTGAGATTGAGAAGGTTTGCAACCTAGTAACCGATTAGTGACCACCTTGTTGCCCAGTAACTAATTAGTAAACAATAAGTAACCAGCCTTTATACTCCACCTTAGTTACTACTTATTTAATCAAAAGTTAATCATGACTAACGTAGTATCATCAACTACCTAATAGTCAACTTAATAACTGCACCGTGGACTAACATTTTTGTTACAACTAACAAAATTGGCAAATATTCTAAATTGGAAATAAACTATAAAGCATGGTATTGGAAGCATGATACGTATTCTCGAACATAATTTATTTCATAATCTTTACTTATTTATATTAGTATAATTAATGTGATCCCTCCATTTCATACAATAACGTTTGAACTGTTAAAATATATAAAGAACAATACGTTATGTTGCATGTTAACTATATCATGTGCATTTAATGCATGTTATGACTTATTTGATTGTTGTCAAACTGACAGAAATGTTTTCCAAAATTTTATGATACTAATTATAATTATGTAATATCTTGATTCTCGCTTCTAATTTCTGGCTCTTCCTGACTCAGTTCAAAGGCCACTGTCAATTCGGACATTAATCTGGTAATCCCTCAGAGGCGTCTAATACAAGAAGCCCTAGATTCACCTAACAAAGAACCTGTCGACCAGAAAGAAGAAGATAGTAAGTTCTTAACATTATTTTATTTGAATGTGATTTTTCACAAATAATTTTACATCCATCACAATAATTTTTCACATTATTCCAATTAAAATAATTGTTCACACTATACTAATCACAAGAATTATTCTAATTAAAATAATTGTTCACGCTATTCTAATCACAATAATTATTTACATTAGTTAATAACAATAATTATTCACATTTTTCTAATTAAAATTAGAGTACGATTGGTTCAATAACGATTGGAAGGGCCTAGGAGAGAAAATGATAGAGAATCAATTGAAAAGTGAGACTTGATATGGCGACAGCTGTATCTTTTCTCCGCCTTTTTGTGCATGGCTCCATACAATTTCAGCTTGAAATTGTATTAAATTCCATAGTTACCACCTAGTTACCACCTAGTTACCACCTAGTTACCACCTAGTTACCAACTAGTAACCACCTAGTTACCACATAGTTACAGCTTGTATTGAATTGCATGGAGCTGTGAGAGGATGTGATGATTTATTTATTGATTATTGAATTTTTACACTTGAAAATATAATAACTAATATGTATGTATATTATACATATAATATAATCATAACAACTGAAACACCTCATGAGGGTAAGGAAATCATAATTCCTTCTTCGTAACATCAATATAACGTAGACTCGATCATTTATTGCATCAATTATAATAGTCAGTAGTTATTACTGCACTTGTACAGTATTGGACATGTGACAAGATGTACTGTGGTACTATATTACACTCACTCTACCATCGCACGTGTTCAATGAGGTCACATGTTCAATGAGGCCCCCTCTAGAACAGGAACCTTACACAATGTACACGTGTACTAATGGTCAATATCTAACATGCACAGGGTATTATCCATAGTTACCCCTACTAGTGTCGCTAAGTTACCCACAACCCACTACAGGTAAAGAAGTAGAGGGAGGTAATGTTAACCCGGTAGTTTAGTTACCCACAACCCACTACAGGTAAAGAAGTAGAGGGAGGTAATGTTAACCCGGTAGTTTAGTTACCCACAACCCACTACAGGTAAAGAAGTAGAGGGAGGTAATGTTAACCCGGTAGTTTAGTTACCCACAACCCACTACAGGTAAAGAAGTAGAGGGAGGTAATGTTAACCCGGTAGTTTAGTTACCCACCACCCACTACAGGTAAAGAAGTAGAGGGAGGTAATGTTAACCCGGTAGTTTAGTTACCCACAACCCACTACAGGTAAAGAAGTAGAGGGAGGTAATGTTAACCCGGTAGTTTAGTTACCCACCACCCACTACAGGTAAAGAAGTAGAGGGAGGTAATGTTAACCCGGTAGTTTAGTTACCCACCACCCACTACAGGTAAAGAAGTAGAGGGAGGTAATGTTAACCCGGTAGTTTAGTTACCCACCACCCACTACAGGTAAAGAAGTAGAGGGAGGTAATGTTAACCCGGTAGTTTAGTTACCCACCACCCACTACAGGTAAAGAAGTAGAGGGAGGTAATGTTAACCCGGTAGTTTAGTTACCCACAACCCACTACAGGTAAAGAAGTAGAGGGAGGTAATGTTAACCCGGTAGTTTAGTTACCCACAACCCACTACAGGTAAAGAAGTAGAGGGAGGTAATGTTAACCCGGTAGTTTAGTTACCCACAACCCACTACAGGTAAAGAAGTAGAGGGAGGTAATGTTAACCCGGTAGTTTAGTTACCCACAACCCACTACAGGTAAAGAAGTAGAGGGAGGTAATGTTAACCCGGTAGTTTAGTTACCCACCACCCACTACAGGTAAAGAAGTAGAGGGAGGTAATGTTAACCCGGTAGTTTAGTTACCCACAACCCACTACAGGTAAAGAAGTAGAGGGAGCTAATGTTAACCCGGTAGTTTAGTTACCCACCACCCACTACAGGTAAAGAAGTAGAGGGAGGTAATGTTAACCCGGTAGTTTAGTTACCCACCACCCACTACAGGTAAAGAAGTAGAGGGAGGTAATGTTAACCCGGTAGTTTAGTTACCCACCACCCACTACAGGTAAAGAAGTAGAGGGAGGTAATGTTAACCCGGTAGTTTAGTTACCCACAACCCACTACAGGTAAAGAAGTAGAGGGAGGTAATGTTAACCCGGTAGTTTAGTTACCCACAACCCACTACAGGTAAAGAAGTAGAGGGAGGTAATGTTAACCCGGTAGTTTAGTTACCCACAACCCACTACAGGTAAAGAAGTAGAGGGAGGTAATGTTAACCCGGTAGTTTAGTTACCCACAACCCACTACAGGTAAAGAAGTAGAGGGAGGTAATGTTAACCCGGTAGTTTAGTTACCCACCACCCACTACAGGTAAAGAAGTAGAGGGAGGTAATGTTAACCCGGTAGTTTAGTTACCCACAACCCACTACAGGTAAAGAAGTAGAGGGAGGTAATGTTAACCCGGTAGTTTAGTTACCCACAACCCACTACAGGTAAAGAAGTAGAGGGAGGTAATGTTAACCCGGTAGTTTAGTTACCCACAACCCACTACAGGTAAAGAAGTAGAGGGAGGTAATGTTAACCCGGTAGTTTAGTTACCCACAACCCACTACAGGTAAAGAAGTAGAGGGAGGTAATGTTAACCCGGTAGTTTAGTTACCCACAACCCACTACAGGTAAAGAAGTAGAGGGAGGTAATGTTAACCCGGTAGTTTAGTTACCCACCACCCACTACAGGTAAAGAAGTAGAGGGAGGTAATGTTAACCCGGTAGTTTAGTTACCCACAACCCACTACAGGTAAAGAAGTAGAGGGAGGTAATGTTAACCCGGTAGTTTAGTTACCCACAACCCACTACAGGTAAAGAAGTAGAGGGAGGTAATGTTAACCCGGTAGTTTAGTTACCCACAACCCACTACAGGTAAAGAAGTAGAGGGAGGTAATGTTAACCCAGTAGCAGCAGTACCAGCACCGGTGGGAGAGTCAGGTTTCAAGGATGGTGCTGCTGTGGATATTGTGGACCACGTGGCAGACATTCCTGAAGCTCCTAAAGACAACTCATTTGTTGATACTAATCAGGTTTATATTAAATAATATGTTTATCATACCCATCATATGTTTATATGTTTATGTTTATGCATACAATCTTAATCGAATGCTTATCAAAATAATCATGATGTTGTAGTTATTAGTTTTAATTTTAGTGACCAACAATGTTATCTAACCAGGCTATACCTGAAGCCCAAGCACCAGCTCCAGGGATCCCTGTCGAGCAGCCGGTAGTTCCGGGTGATATCGGAGGTGCAGTAGCACCTGCTCCTGGGGCAGAACCTGTTCAGGAGTTCAAGAGGGACATTGAGGATCGTAAGTTATAAGAAGGGGGTGATTGAGGGGGACCAGGCTTACTTTAATACTCAGCAGATAATCGTTAATGTTTTCATGTAGCCGCCCATTAAAATGTCTTGCTTGTGATAAACTACAAGATTCTTGTATCCATTGTGTTTGAATAATAGTCAGCTACATGTTATATAATATATTAATAGCTCCTTAAAATTCAAATGTTGGCAATTATACCCGTTTCAGGTGCTACATTTTATTTCTAATATAGCGTTCGAAAATGCATCTCCAAACTGAACTCCTCAATAAAGGAGGCTCAACAGCTTCAAATTGTCCCGCTATTTATTCATTAAATGAACTTGTTAGCTATGTCTCTAACAAACCTGTTTCCAGAGTTAGCTGGAGGTATGGGAGGGTTCCAACCTCTCCAGCCTATACCTGACGCTGCTCTGGCAGAGTCCCTGGACAGAGTCAGACAGGAGGAGCAACTTGAAGAACTACAGGTTTAGTTAGTTAGTTAGTTAATTAGTTAGTTAATTAGTTAGTTAGTTAGTTAGTTAGTTAGTTAGTTTGTTAGTTGTTAGTTAGTTAGTTAGTTAGTTAGTTAGTTAGTTAGTTAGTTAGTTAGTTAGTTAGTTAGTTAGTTAGTTAGTTAGTTTGTTAGTTAGTTAGTTAGTTAGTTAGTTAGTTAGTTAGTTAGTTAGTTAGTTAGTTAGTTAGTTAGTTTGTTAGTTGTTAGTTAGTTAGTTAGTTAGTTAGTTAGTCACACTTTAGTGTAAACAAACTCTTAGCTAAACACTTATAATGTTTCGTTATTATTAAATGTGTATTAGTTGTTGGTAGTTTAAGATGTGGAGGGTTAATTAAAATGACCATGATACTAAATCCCTGACAAAACGTCCCCTCTCAGGATCGACAAAATCATCTCCAACCTGAGGTGCCTGAAGAAGATAACCTGGCTCCCGCTAACGAGGACCAGGGTAACGACAATAACATAGCCCTGCAACCCGCCCTGCCCCCAGAAATGCAAGCCGCACAGCCCGCCCCTAACGGTGAAAATGAAAGTGAAAGTGAAAGTGAAGTTGATTTCGAAGATTTCGACGGTGGTGATGATGATGATAACGACAGTGATGTTAATGGAGATACTAACAGTAATCAGGATAATGTTGTAGATAACGAGGTACAACTTGGACTATTGCCAGAGTTAGTACCGGCCCAGCCTGCTCCAAACGTCTGATTTGTAAGCTTATTAACTAATTATGATGATTAATCGATTATCACATTAAGTAACTAATTGGTTGATTAATTTGATAACGTTATCTGATATTGATTGATAATGGAGGTTGTTGCTCTAGAAGGGTAGCAGCCTGATTCTTTAACCCTGAGTTTCTACAGTTCTATTTTAATTTTGTATTGCAGATACTGAATTTAGTTTACTTATAGATAAATAAGGTTAATTTATGTATTTTAAGCTGGGTAATAGAAAACTTTGGACCCGTGATAAAAACTTTTGCCCCTCATAAGTCACTATGAGGGGGTATAAAAGGTAAAGATGCATAATGATAAAGATGAAATAAGGTAAAGATGCATGGGTTAACTTATTTTAAAATTCTGAATATAAGTCAGAGTTTGTTGGGGAGTGCTTTACAGTTACTAACTTATTAAAGTATATCCTGATCGCATGATTACAAGTATTGTACATACAGGGTGTTCACGATACATTGAAACGTTTCAATGTATCGTGAACACCCTGCACATTAGGTAAAATGTTTGTTCTTACAGTTTCATTAGTCATCTCAAGCCGTCTTTTGCTCTAAACGCACTCAATATTTTCAGTTTATTAAATTCAAGTTCACATTTCAATTTCTATTAAGCTATTTTTTACCGTCCTGGGGAATTCAGTTTTGAAAAATGTCTTTATAATTTACACGTATAATAAATTCCTGAATCTATTTTTGAACTTGAACGGCAATTTGTACATTTTCGCAAAGTTTTAGTTTTAAACCAATATTAACTGATATAGGTACAGTAAATATAGGTACAGTAATTTTATACCAAGAGGTTGTTTTATTCGTTTGTTTGTATAGCTGCTAAAATTAAGGACTAGAATACTCGTTTACAATAACTTATAACTTACAACAATATTTTACATATTATATAATGCATAGCTAGAACCCGTAATGAACATTACAATTACATTGACTTGCAGGTATTTTCATTATATTTCAGTAAATCCCCATATTATTTCAACTAATTTACAAATAAATTACCAACTAATCACCAACTAATTACACACTAATTACCAACTAATTACCAACTAATTACCAACTAATTACCAACTAATTACCAACTAATTACCAACTATTTAAACTAACTAATTACCAAATAATTACCAACTAATTACACAGTATGTTACCGGACCTGAGATCAGTAAAGGCGCTAATAATCCTGGATAATGACGGATCACGTGTGCTATCTAAATATTACGATGATCACTTCGCTTCATTGAAAGATAAGCAGGACTTTGAAGCGAACCTCTTCAAGAAGACTTATCAGACTGATTTTGAGATTATTGCTTGTCAAGGACTCACTGTGTGCTACAAGTCAAGGTAAATAGTGTTACAATAGTGTTACAATAGTGTTACAATCTACGCTAATAAGTATTCTGATGTTTCCGTTAAATATGAATATGTATTTGACAAATTCCCTCTAAGCATATAGGATTTATATTTGGTTGATTGTCTGAAAGGTTGGGTTTGACGCAAAACAGGGGTATTATATATAATGGGTTTCGGAATATACGGTACTTCACTGACTGCAAAGGACGATTACCATTTGTTGGGCGTTTCAACAGCAACTCCAATGGCAGTTGTATATTATATAAATTATGATTTATGACATTGTTTTTGACTACTTAAATCCTGTTTTTGTGTTAATGTTTGCTGTATCTTTAAATACAATGCATGCAATATATCCGCGTTTTACCCATCCACCTTGTAACGGTTTCTTATCTAGTCATAATCCTCCTGTATTAAGGAGTTCGCTATGAGAATTTAAATCATAAACTTAATTTCCCAGCTTTAATTGATTAATTACTTAATTAATGACTTCAGTGTGGACTTGCTGTTCTACGTGATAGGATCAAGTGAAGAGAACGAGCTGATACTAGTTAGTATACTCACAACCTTCTTTGATACTGTTAGTCTTATTGTGAGGAAGAATGTGGAGAAGAAAGCTGTGTTCGATAAAATGGATTACATTATACTGGCTGCTGACGAACTTATTGATGATGGTTTTTATACTTTCATATCTATATTAGTTTCTCTTTCAGTTTCATATGTTGATTTTCTAAATATAAACATATTAAATTCATTTTCACTTCGAAAAGCTAACTCCGATCCAATATTTTATTTTCTACTTTCACTTTCACTCTGACTTTCACTTTCACTTTCACTTTCACTTTCAATTTCACTTTCACTTTACAGGAGTACTGATGGAGAACGATTCAGACAGTATAGCAGGGAGAGTTTACCCCGGACAAGAAAAAGATATACCGCTATCAGAACAGACAATGACACAAGTGTTACAGAACGCTAGAGAGGGCTTCAAGTGGACCCTTCTCAGATAATTAGTTAATTAGTTGGCAATTAGTTAATTAGTTGATAATTAGTTAATTAGTCGGTTATTGTTTGTTATTTGAACAAACAGCTGCATGATGAGGATATTTTCCGTACTTTTTTTGACAAGAACAGTAAACTTCGGGACACTTTTCACATGTGATTTCATCTGACAATATAAGAATTAAGAGGGTTTAAATTTTATGAATTACTGTTTATTAAATTATTTCACTGTATAGCTTTTAGAATAAACATTTATTAATTTCCAGATTCACAATTTTTCAAGTGTGATCAGAACTGTCGAAATGGACGATTTGAAATTATTTTATCTTATAAAATTGTTAACTTTTTCAAAAATGAAAGTTATTTGCTTATAAAAAACATGCGTGTACTTGTAACAATCAGAAATCAGCGTTCTTACTTCGTAATTAAATTATTAAACAATTTCAAGGATTTTTTAAATGTCTGAACTCAAATAAGTGTTAAGTTTTATTATATAGCGGGACTACTTATTGAATCTATATTACCAAGAATTCGGACAATGTTTACACTTTATCTAAACATGTGAATTTACGGTTATATGTTAATTTAAGATTTAATTTTAGAATATTATACTGGTTACGAAATTTTAAAATATTACCTACTGTACAATACTTACAGCTAATCGAAAATCCGAGTTTGTTGAACTCTTTGTCTATCTTATGTTACAAAAGCAATCAATTAAATTTAGATTACAGATTCTGAGCGATGATTTCGCACTCAAAAATTCGGTCCAGTACGTCACAATTACCTACTTGTGCAAACAGATAATATGATCAATATTCAATTAACTAATTATCAAGTTTCCAGGCAGTAATGAATATAGTAGTCACCAGCCCCGATGGAAATTTCTACAGTCTTGAAGTTTCTTCAGATTTAGAACTGGAAAACCTGTTGGCCCTCGTGAGTGTTGAATCCGGTAAACCTACCGAACACATACAGGTACACTTTCACTATTACCTTTACATTTTAGAACATCGTTAATTAATTACTGTTTACTGATTAATTTATTAATTTAGGAAAAATTTAACAAAATATTAAAACAAGCGTTCACACACCCATTAATCCACTATTCTTCAGCTATCACTAAACGGTATCCCGCTCCTCGACAAGAAGAAAACTTTAACTGAGTACAATGTTAAAGACGGTGATATGATGTTAATGACCACAACTAGCAGCCGGCCACCCAGTAGTCAGCCACGTGCACCTAGCCAGCCTTCCCAGCAAACAGGGAATATGGGGTCTTTATTTGGGGGAACTGGCATCAACTGGGGTGCAATCAATGTACCAGGACAAGGGTAAATAGTCTTAATTAATTGGTACTCAACTATTTAATTAAATCTCAATTAGTTAATTTTACGAATTACTTTGTGCCACAACAACAATCTGACAGTCAGATACCTAATATTAAAATGTAGTGCACTACTTCTGATCTGTTATCTCCAATACCTCCGCAGTGCCAGTCCAGTAGCTAGACCTCCCCCGGTGGATGAGTGTGAGAAGTTAAGGCTGGAGTTGCTGGGGGACCCCTACCAGCTCTCAATACTAAAGGAGAGGGACCCTCAGTTCGCTGCTGCTATCGACAATAAGGATCAGTTCAAAAAGGTAGATTTTCTTTCACTTTCACTTTCAGTTCGCTGCTGCTATCGACAATAAGGATCAGTTCAAAAAGGTAGATTTTCTTTCACTTTCACTTTCAGTTCGCTGCTGCTATCAAAAATAAGGACCATTTCAAAAAGTTGTTGTTTACTACTATGAAAAAGTATTCACTTGCTACTCATTTAGTTTGATTTACAGTTTTAATTAACAGTTTAATTTGATTTGCTTAATGAATTGCGTCTAATCGGTTCCTAACGTACTAATTAAACAGGTGTTCAATGAAAGACAGGAGCTGATCAGGAAGAGAAAGAGAGAAGAGGAACTGCTTCTCAGTGGTAATCCAATGGACCCGGAGTACCAGAAGAAGATATATGAGATGTTACAAGGGAAGCAGATAGAGGAGAATCTATCCACTGCTATGGAGGAACATCCTGAGAGCTTCGGACAGGTGGGTTTATAATAAACATTAATATTATTAACATATTTAAAATATTTTCACTGTTACTATTTACTAAGTGGTACTAGATTGTTATTGTTACGGGGAGGAGGAGGTTTAGATAATGGATCTAGATCTCGTGTCCCCTCGCTGGGTGAGGAGGAGGTATAGATAATGGATCTAGATCTCGTGTCCCCTCGCTGCGGTTATTTATATCAAAATGTATTTTATAATGCTTTTGGACACGAAGGGAAACACACAATGCAAGGCTTGAAATCTTCGTAAAACTACATCATTAGAGCCTGTAAAATGTATTTTATGTTCACCATAGCTATGTTAGCAGCTGATTCTTGTTTGGATGTGTTTAATTTGAGCTAGTTTTGATATCTGAGCTAGCCAGTCTATTCTGCCCATGTATTAATTACGTAGCAAATGATATCAATCAGAGAGAACGTATTATTACACAGGTCATGAAACTGAGGTATACCAGCGTATTTATCATGTATGATGAGTGTTTGATTTGTTTTGATCCATTACAGGCGTTTCTATAACAACTAATAGAGGATTTAATATATGTATTTGACAGAGTGGTTACTCGTTAGGTAAATACACTTAAATGTAAGAGACTTTGTTACTGTAGTACACAGTAAACTAGAGTAAAGAATATCATTTAGTAGCTTTATGATATGCAACATGAACATATCTACTAACTTGTTGTGTAATGAATGTTGAGAGGAGTAGGCAACTGATGATGGTCAGAATATCTGAAATTGTTCTTAAAATAAGCAACTCTTTAAAACAAAGAAGCGTGTATACTGTATAGCGTATTATACGGTAAATGTAACATTATATTATATGTGTATTGTGTAGTGCGTTTTATAACATTAGCTCTAACATTCATTGTAAACTATCATGTTACGCACAGTCATCAACAATTCAATATTATTATATGTTAGACTTTATGCTAATTTTAAAGCTTATAATATTATTATTAAAAGTGTCCCTAAAGTTTAGAATAATTGCATATTCATCCCTTTTGCTCTAGAAACACACTTTTTTAGAGATTTTACCGGCGTTTCCTCTGAAATCACCTAATTTTTTCAATTTGAGGGAGGGGTGCGAAAAGGGGAGGGGCGCCAACAGGCAACTTTACGCCATTGCTTTATTAACAGCCTAAGTAACAATTTTATTAAACATCTTATCTAATTCCCACGTTAATATACCCTCTACCCTGATACCTGGACCATGTACAAGTAACGTGTAATCTTTAAGTGGTGATGTCAGCATCTTTAACAAGCTTAATAAAATGTCAACTAACTACGATACATGTTTAAAAGAAACTTAAACCTTTTATCAATAATAGTGATGATTGATAGATATTATATTAACGGGTTTATTGATACAGTTTATTGACTGTTTCTTGTCATTTAAATCTAGATTTTCTCAGTTCCAATTATTCTTGTTCGTGATTTAGTGATCGCTAGTTCTCTCTGCTGTATAGATTCAATAACACACATAATCAAATCATAGACAACGAAGTTACCGGTTTAATATTCTACCAGCTAACTCATTTATAGACATAATATTAATATGGATAAATCAATCCTCTAAATTTGAAGGATAACTTGCATAGTGAATACAAGACCTGAAACTTCTTTGCAAAGTATAAAAGTCTCTAGATTCATATAGGGCCACTACAGTGTAGACAGAAGTATATTTCACTGTGTATATAATGTATGTTGTGTAGTGTTATGTAGTTGTTGTGTACGTGTGTATTGATACAACATGATGTTTGTTAGGAGTAACAAGGTTGTGGTTCCTATTGATCCGAATATGCCACTTTTTATACCAGTCCCATTGAAACTGAAGAAGGTGAACATTTTTACTTTCACTTAATTTCATTAAATTTTCATTTTGACTTTTGTGAATAAGGATGTAAAACTGTAAAAGCTAAGTGACAAGTCAAAAGCTAAAAAATAATGAATAGAGGAAATCTTTGAAACTTCAGTCACCAATTTTACAGATCTACCATAATATAATTATAGAGGGTTCGGAGTGAAGTGATGTTAAGAAGCAGCTTTTGGGTTCTATAAACAAACAAACAAACAAACAATAGAAAACAGCTTTTTATTCCGAACTAAAACACCTTATTTGCAGGTCATAATGCTGTACATTGACTGTGAAGTAAATGGACACAAAGTAAAAGCTTTTGTTGATTCCGGAGCTCAGATGACACTAATTTCCGCTGCTTGTGCAGAAAGGTTCGTACAAAGTTTCTATGTTTTAAGATGTACAACGTGGTCATTTTACAGTAATTCGTGTTTGGTTTGCGTAACGCGCGAGGTTTTAAAAATTAACAAAGAAGTTTCGCAAATCGCTTTCATTGACATGTAACCGCGTTGCGCGCGCGCATACTAGAATATTTCTGTCATCGGGCCGGAGTTGTTCAGTTGTATTTAGGTCTTTCTTCAGAGTCTTTTGAGTTTGGGCTTTTGACCCCTCACTTTTCACACTTTAAAGTTATGCTTCTCCTAATTACACTGAGAAATTTGTGCTCCACTTGCTTACAATCTTTTTAACGTCATTATTTTCAGAGTGAGTGTTTCAAGACTGATCGACAAGCGTTTCCAAGGTGTCGCTAAAGGAGTGGGCACTCAGAAGATTTTGGGCAGGGTCCATCTTCTTCCTCTTAAAATCGGTAAACTCGGCTTATCCAGAATAATTTGACCATCTTCAGACACGTTGATTAGTTATCGGTGATAACCTTTAACTTTTAACGCTAGATCATTTGCTGTGGAGGTTGAACGCTCAAATTTAAAAACTTGTTGTTGAATTTCTGATGATGTTACTGTTATTATTCATTTGTTATCAAGTAATTTTACAATCTAAACCCCCAGGTAACGACCATTTCCCTTGCACCTTTAGTGTGCTGGAGCATCAGCCCATGGACATGTTACTGGGATTAGACATGCTTAAACGTCATCAGGTCTGTTCACTTTTTGTGAGAATATTTCACTGTCATTTAAATCAACAGTTTTTGAAGTTTTATCAATACAATTATAAAAGAGTGTCCAAATTAATTACTACGATTCTGAAGACTCGCTTGTTATGAACAATGAACATTTGTATCCTCAGTGTGTAATAGACCTGAAAGAGAACTGTCTAAAGATAGGTACAACTAGCACCACAGCCGCATTCTTGTCTGAGAAAGATATCCCCAAATCAACCGAGGAGAGTGATCAGCAGCCCTCTGGTTCATCCCAAGGTACACTATCAGATCCAAATATATTACGGATGGTGTGTTTTAGTTTTAGTCAGATGAAGTAACCAGTTGAAATTATGCAGCTGATTTTAGTGCCTTGACATTTAAATGTGTTCTATCGCTTGTCAATTTTTCCTCAAATTTCCGTACTTAGTACTTACCATACCTATAATTAATGCTTTTACTAATTAGTATAAAATTTATGATTTTTATATACAGTTACATATTTTACACAAAAACCAAAATTTCTACTGTGAGGCAAAAAACAAGGAATGACAGTTTAGAAAATGTCTAAACTATGATGCCCCAATCAGGTAGTAGTGCTGCAGGAGGTCCAACGGCTACAGTAACAGACGAAAACGTTTCCAAGCTAGTCGACATGGGCTTCACTCCAGAACAGAGCCGTAAAGCTCTAGGACTATGCGGAAATAACGTGGATTTAGCAGCTAGTTTATTGTTTGAGAAGGGTGGACAGGTGTAGCACTGGGGGGTGCAAGTTTAAATACTTTACTATTTGTGGGGTGGTGGTGCGGTGATTATTGGCGTGGAGAAGAAGTGACTCCATCCCAAACCTCAAGATGGCAGTGTTCTATGTTTATAGTTTACCAAAATGATTTAGTAAGGCGTAAGCTGACTGCTTAACTGATATTATGACTTAATACGAGAAACGATTTGTATAATTATATTGCAAGGCGCCTTTCCAAGTAAACGTTATTTTCTAATTTCATATGTTTTTAACGAGGAGTTGATAGATTGTATTGAGTTTAAATGAGAATTGAACTGGTGGTAAACGATTAAGTGTACTATATGTTGTCGGGGTATTTGCAATAAATTTATGTTAATCGCAAAAGGCGGTGATTCAATAAACAAATCCGTTTGATATGGATTTGTTGTACATTTTTCAGTTGAAAAATTTGTTTTACTAGATTTTACCCATGAGTAGAAAGTTCCTTTTGGGCGAAGAAAGGTGTTTGTTAATTTACATGAATTATTATAATCGGTTTATATAACATGTTGTATTTATATGAATTTATTAGATTTTGTTGAATATTTACCATAAAATGTCGTTTAATTCTACAAATGGTGTACAGTTAACAGTAGTATATAACCCCTTTATACAGGGTATCTCGATATACCGGGTCTTTTCTTTCCCCCAAAACCAAATCATCAGTCAATTGGTCCGTGTTCCGCCATTTCCTAAAAATTTAGTGTACTTGAAAGTTGCATGCTCCAAAATAAATAGTAAGTAGCAAACTTCCATTGTAATGCTGATGTTAAGGATATTGCTTCGTGAGTGGTTATAAGTACTACAAATTGTTAAATTTCCTAGTCGTGTAAGAGTCCAGGCGTCCAGCGTGCCTTTTGTTATTCATCTTGTGCTCATCTTGTCCGGTCCTTAATAATGTGGCTGGTTCGTAAGACGACTACCTTTTACAGTTTTACGACTATAATATCAGGCTGACCAGTTTGATTACTGTCTCAAATGGAAAAAAGCAGGAAGTGACCGGGATTCCAGGTCCCGGGTTAATTCAGGATTCTTGGTCCCGGTCCCGGTCAATCACTCAAATTTGCCGGGATTTTGACCGGGATCTTTTACATAATTTCATTCACTGTGATTTTAAGTTTTTACTTTCATTCATTGTGAATTTCATCTTTAAACAACCTCTGAGCCAAATAAAACAATGTTTAAAATTGCTAAACAAGTTTGAGTAATAAATTATGACCATGAGGGTGAACTTGAGTAATCAGTACATGAACATTATTGGTGTAGTACATTAGGCCCATGCCCCATATTGACGGGTTTTTTCTAGTTTTTTTCTAATTTGATATTCTAGTTATTACTTATTCAAATTGTTCAATTATAATGTAAATGAAAGTTGCAGCTTTCAATATGAGAATACCAGTTTTGGTCCCGGTCATCCCGGTCATCCCGGTAAAATTGGATTGTTGGTCCCGGTCCCGGTCCCGGTAAGATAGAAATTATTGGTCCCGGTCCCGGTCCCGGTAAATTGATAATCTCAGTCGCGGTCCCGGTCAAGTCACATTCTGTATCCCGGTCCCGGTCCCGGTCAGGCCTGAAATCATGTCCCGGTCACTTCCTGGGAAAAAGATACAATCCGCCGCTCTGACATGGTTAACCACCTTCCTTGTGTTGTTGGTTAATCATATGAGCGGGATATAAATACCTCATTTCATTTCATGTACCTTTCTTTCTCTCCGAAGCTATTGTGGTAGTTTATATTTGTCATGAATTTAGGTGGGAGGAAATGGTTTTCACTTTTCTCTGCCAAATCAAGTTATCAGTATAACTGTCTTTAGTAAATATTCTTCGCAAATAGCAACCTGGTGGCAATTTAAAGTGCTTCATCAAATTATAATTAATGGTACCCAAATCAAAGTCAGCATATTGGCACCTACATGATTTTAACTGTAATCAAAGATAAATAAACTAATATTTGAATTTCTTCGTTGTTGTCTGTTAAAATTACCATCTCAGATCATCAAAAATTACTCCCATTATTTGTTGTTTATACTCTCATTGCAGCAACGTTTCCTGGCCATACGACAGATCCTGGTTGCACTTTGGCATAGAAATTCGTCTTGAAATCATCTTACAATCATTCAGTGCAACATCATGTTCTTAAATTAAAGATCATCAGATTTCCCTGATTAAGATTTAAATCTTGAATTTAGCACAATTAAATCCAATTAAATAACAATTAAATCCGATTGTCATGTTTAAAAGTTGCTACAATTAATGCACGAATTGTACACAAGATTGAAGCCTGTGGGAAGTTGCAATTAATGAATGTTCGGAATAAATTAGATTTATATTATGATAGATGGTGAACTATTTACGGGCTGTGTAATTTTAGATACTTTTGATGTTGCCAACTGCATTAAAACATAAGCTGCAGTGCATGAGTGTACATTATATTTGTAATTGTGCAACCTTGCATACTTTTGTTCTTCTACACATCGTGGATTATCACAGTTTAATTCGTGCTAGGTTTAGTTTTCAGATACTTTGATGATCAGTATAGTAATTAGCAAGTAATTATAGCAATTAGCAAGTAATTATAGCAATTAGTAATTTTATAATTAGTGTTGCGAAACCGAATATATAGTTATATGGCGAGTACCATCGAAATAGAGAACGTATTTTGTATAAAATATGATCTAAGGGGTCGTTCACATATTACGTAATCAATTTTTGGACAATTTTTAACACCCCTCCGTATTCAGTTTTAGTTTTAGTTTTACACTAAGCTATGCCTATATTGTGTCAAAATCACACTAGCGTAATCATTTGGAAACCCCTCCCCCTCGGCTGAACGTAATACTAATATCAATATGTGAACGACGCCTAACTCTATAGAATATATTCCGTGTTAAACTTTTGTACAGGTTCGATTCACTTTAAGTTTAACTTTAAGTTAAAAGTAGATTGTAAATGGTAAAATTTTACATCTTATACTTATAGTTCGGTTCGCTTGGGTGGCTCCAATTACAATTAAAATAAAGCGAACTGCGAATTACTTACTTTAGGTACAGCTGCACAAAATTTGGCAGCGTTAGTGCCTAGTGGTTAAAGCGTCAACATATGTTTTGATGTCTACAATGATTATCGTTGAAATAAATAAAATTATAAAAGACACAGCCGCGCTGCACGTGTAACTGTAAGTGATTCCAAACCAAGTCAATTCCTCGAATGCAAATGTCATGCTCAGATGCGCACGTCACATGATCAATTATTCATTTCGTGGACCTAACGACCTCATTCAGATAATCATGTCCATTCTGTTATGCAACTCAGCATAAATTATAATTTGGCAATAACTTTAACCCGACCAAACATTGCATAATTTGCTTCTAGCATCACATCCCTATACTTATAGTATGTCTCTTTGACACATTCACAATGTACCCTTTGTATAGATCGACACTGCTTTCTTAATATATAACTATAAGATAGAGGAAACTCTCACACTCCTTTATAATAAATACAACACTCTTCCCTCCCTCCCGCTCTTGCATGCAGACACGACACTCTACAGGAAGCATTGCTACACGTTAGATATCATAAGTTCTAACGGCCCTCAATTGGTCAGTTTGTGTCACGTGACCACAACACTGCTCTCAGATTGGTGGAGAGAGTATCAGATCACCTCGTTATTTATTATTAGCAGGGTATATTTAGCACGATCTGGTGTTCTGTTATATTAATCTCTTGTCCGTTCCGGTTTTGAGAGCTCGTGTGATTTCTTGTTATGTGAAAGTGTCTGTATTGCAGCCTGGCTCCTTTTTTAGCTTTAATTGTATATCATTATTGTTTATAAGCAAGTAGTGATAGTATTACCTCTTGGTTATTGATGGGTGGCGGGTACCCATCTTAATGAGCAGATGCAGGATATCACATCTACATACACTTGCATAAATGGTGGCGTTCACGTGTAATTAATTTACGTTCTTCTCAACTCATCTTACGACATTTGATTTTGTCTAGTGAAAAGTGAAGATAATATCTTGTGTACCAAGTCTTAATTAGTTAATTAGTCTTAATTAGTTAATTGCAGACGCGGAACTCACAGAGACTCAGACAGCCAAAGACTGACAAATAGTAGCTATTTTCCGGAGTATATATGTTTAATAGCAGAACAAATCTCTGCCACTGGAATCTAATTCCATGGAATTAGATTTCCTGAGGACCTGTCAACTGTTAGAGGAGTGTGGCGGGACTTGGTGTGCGCTTGAGGTTACCATGTCACACTTTTTCTTGAATTGGCTGTTGTACTGTAGTAGTTTTGTTACTCTCAGTTTCGCACTGCTGTTATAGCGTTTTCCTCCTGTTATACTGTTCTGCTGACACTGTTTTTCTACTGTTCTGCAGTAGCGTTGTTATGTTGTGTTTTCTGATGTTGTGCTGTTCTATTTTTCTATTTTTCTATTTTTCTGCTGAAGCTGTATTATAGTAGCGTTGTTTTGTTGTGTTTTCTTATGTTGTGCTGTTCTATTTTTCTATTTTTCTATTTTTCTGCTGAAGCTGTATTATATAAGTAGCGTTGTTTTGTTGTGTTTTCTTATGTTGTGCTGTTCTATTTTTCTATTTTTCTATTTTTCTGCTGAAGCTGTATTATAGTAGCGTTGTTTTGTTGTGTTTTCTTATGTTGTACTGTTCTATTTTTCTATTTTTCTATTTTTCTATTTTTCTATTTTTCTATCTTCTATTTTTCTATTTTTCTATTTTTCTATTTTTCTATTTTTCTATTTTTCTATCTTCTATTTTTCTATTTTTCTATTTTTCTATTTTTCTATTTTTCTATTTTTCTATCTTCTATTTTTCTATTTTTCTATTTTTCTATTTTTCTATCTTCTATTTTTCTATTTTTCTATTTTTCTATTTTTCTATTTTTCTATTTTTCTATCTTCTATTTTTCTATTTTTCTATTTTTCTATTTTTCTGCTGAAGCTGTATTAATATTTTAGTAGCGTTGTTCTACAAATCTACTGTTGTTAACAAGGTACTGATGTATTTTGTAGGTTGTTTCGTATGTCGTATATTATCGTAGTTCTGTTAATGTGTTATATTACAGTCCGAGGACCGAGACGTCCTCCTCATGTCCTATTCAAGTGGCGTTTCTCTTGTCTCATATATTCACAAACGTCTAGCTAACGTCTGTTTAACTGTTCAAGGCACGATTTAATCGATTTGAAAACGGTTTCCGAGAAAATTTGTCGCCTTGAAAATGGAAACGTTTATAGTTACTACCAGAGCCATTTCCGCCATATGTCGAATATTCGGGTAGTTTCAACGGTAGGTTACAATTAAGGAAGTACTCAGCTATGGTAGGTATAGTAGGATTGCGGCGACAGAGGGTTTCACTTTAGTCTTCAGGTTGGACCAACCGGGTTGTTAAAAACAACCCAAACAAGTCATAACCAACACCTATGTCCTATATTTCGCAACTGTTAAATCACAGCTGTTGCAGTCCTTACATAGTTTAGTCATAACACGTAACATTAACACAACTGTTAAAATGAAGCTACAATTTCAAAACCGTGAGGCGCTGAGCACTGTGATTGCTTCCCTATAGTGAACGCCAGACTACACAGTACACTCCTAGTCCTACATGCAGCTGCCAGCCAGCTAGCTTTAGCCCGGTAAAGCTAGCTTCAGCCTGGTAATTATGCTACCTTTCCATCACCCAAAACACCTTTTATTCGCCGCCAGCCCACCTAACAGCCCCTACAAATGCAGCCTAATTATTATCCACATATCACACAATCAACATATATTGTGTGATATTATGTTCATGCTATTGCATATAATTGGAGCGTCGTTCTTGTCAAGCATATATATATTCCTGAGCCGATACAGGGCTTCACTTAGCCGCGTTTTGTATAGCCGGTTATTACTCGTCGCCTGGTTACTCGTCGCCTTGTTACTTTCTATTTCTGTAAGACAATTGTCCTACTTTCGGAGACGTGACGTCAGTGCTTTTATGGTTTAGTAAGGGGAACTATTACTTAGTATTTAGTAATAGAACTATTTTTTTCAAAAGGAGAAATATTCTTACGTTTAGACGAGGGACATGATGCACCTCAACCCCTAGTAGTAGTAATAGTGTACTGATAATCAAATCCATATATATTCGATGTAGATACGAAATTCAGCAACAGTTAAGTGACGCATCGTGCAACGTCAGTATGTTTTAAATCTTGAATATGTGAACTCATAGTCATAGTCAGGACGTTTATTCGTGATTATTGATATAATTTAACCGTTAGTGGTCTGTGCTGCTGTTGTCATAGCTGAATTAACTATTTAGATCAGCTTCAGAACTTTAAGTTGTAATTCTATTTTTGACTTATTTGTGGGGGAGTTTAGTGATAGTTATATTGAAATTCGCAACAACTTGTCCGTTTCCATGTTAAAATAAATGTCAAGCGTACATCCGCAGTGAAACATCTCATATTTCGTTAGCATTTCGTTAGTCACTTACAGTGACTAACTGCACGCGATTAACTAGTTCTTGCAGTTACATGTGATAAGGTTATCTGCACTTGGAATTTAGCTCAGTGGCGCGATCCGTCGTACGCTTATCACTTAGTTGCAAATTTGCAACAACCTGACAAATACTATGCCACTAGTCGGTTGTATAATTTAATTTATCGTTACTAAAGTTACTGTCCTATTTACTAATGTTACTATGGTAACTGATAACGTTACTATGGTAATACCATAATTACTAATGTTACTATGATAACTAATACTTATCATCTGGTTACCGGTTGGCAGGGTATTAATGCGGTACATGGGAAGATAAGTCTGAGGTTATTGGTTGTAAATGTGTGATAACCACGTGATAACCACGTGACCTTATACGATTATCTGTCATGATCCTAGAGGCTGATAACTGATCAGATGGATTGTTACCGTTGGATGGTTACTGTTTTCAACATTTCTACTTTTCAACATTTCTAATTTTCAACATTTCTACTTCTTAGATTTCAAGATTTAGAATTATAAATGTTAAAATGGAGAATCAATTGCCATGAATTTCAGTAGTTTCAGAGCTGTAGGCCAGAATGAGGTGACATTTTGACACTTTCTAGGCTTATGCTATTAATATCAATTACATAGTGATACCAATTACATTATGGTACCGGAGTTACTAGGTCCTACCTAGGACTGTTAAACTTCCTCAAGAACCCCAGTCCACACCGAGGCTGAAAATGTATAACCGTCATTTTCCTGCTTTCTCTGTTCCCTTGGCAACATTGTTCCTCTCAGTGTCAGATATTTAATTTGAACCCCGCTGTTTTAGATTTTATCGTAGGGCTTAGTCTTGGCGTGTCCTAGAATCAGGTTGAGACTTGGAGTAAGCGGTATAATGATACTGGACAGCCTCAACATCATCCGGGGTAAAAAATATTTAGAGAAGAGGTCAAACATAAAGAGATGGAATATCATAATAAAATTGTATCATTATCTGATCATTATGAAAATTCATTATGATTAAATGTTTAAACAATTTACCCTCACTTAATTTTTCATATTTTCTTACGATTCGTGATCTCCGTATATATATCTGTCTACACAAACGACCGCCGTTGTTGTTAAATATTTATGGCCTGATTCTATTTGAAGTGGCTTCAGGATACCACCCTGATGTTGTGCTACCATCTGTACTTCAATTACTGGGGGTTAAATTTACTTCCTTGGATTTCATTGTCACATTGTGCCTTATAAATCATACTATAAATCATCCTAACCCAGACACCGTTTTGACATGTGGAGATATCATAATCACAAACTATTTCTCATTCTTTATACATTAGCTTCATACTCTGTATGGCTGATATGACATGGTATCTTTATCCGAACTAATTGCCTTACCGGCGTGCTGGAACCACATCACACGATTACACGACACATAACACCAGTTTAAGCATTTTAGGGTGGGGAGCAAGCAACACGTTTTGAGAAAATGTCGTCAAAAATGGATCCCCACCCCCGTTACATGTGCCGACAGTGCCGAATGTCTTTATCTAATTTTAATTCTATAGGCCCATTCATCTGCAGAGTCGGGCCACTCAGAACATGTGCTATAGAGTTTAACGGTCCTTTCTGGATATATAAACACTGAACACAATGTCTCATTGATTTGATATAGATTTAAGTGCACGATTATTAGAGAGCAACGTGTTCTTTTTCTCGTACGTTTTCAGTTTTGTTCCATCTTTCTATCTATTTAGTTGATTGTTAGTTATAACACTTCTAGTTCGTTATTTTTACAGAGACAATTTGGCAGCATGCATGGTGATGGAGAGCTTATTTAACATTTTCAACGCTGAAAACTATCATACTATGTTTTACCTGGGGACCTCAGGCTATATTCATAAATAGAATAGCTAGATTTTCGAATAGAGATTCGGCGGAATGACAGGCTGAGCGCCGCCCAGTAAACTATGTTAATATGTATACATTCTACGTTTAATATTTTAATGTTGGGATAACTTTCAGCTGTTGTATGTCTAATTTGGTAGTCTATTCGGTGACATTTTTTAGTCTTTACTCTATATTATCATACTTTCCTGTTACATTCCCCAAAATCTTTGAATCGTGAATTAAAGTGTTAATGTTATTCTAAACCAACCGCAATATGACAGATACTTATGATAGAAAAATGTTTAATTTCGGAGTCATTAAAAATCAGATTGAATTTGATCACCCATCTTCCATGCATGAAGTTTTGGGCTACGAAATGCAGGTACATGGCTAATTTTGTGCATGACTGACCAGACCATATGTCACACGTGACCATTTGTCACACCTCGTGACAGTTGTCTGAAGGACAGATAATGTTTACAGTCTTTTAAAAACTTTGACCAAGTTAGGCTCCAAACTACAGATAAACCCAAATGACCTCACACTTTTGTAATTAAGTTACAATAACTCAATAACTGGCAAGATAAGCTGTCCTCTAAATAATTATAAACGATAAATGATTTGAATAATTCCTTCTAATTAAAATTGCCGTCCCATATTAGAAGAACTACGTTTATTATTAGTATTGCTGCTTATTTTATGACACGTTCAGTTGTTGGATAAGTGGTTTAATCATTCGACCGAAATACCTGACCTGGAGAAGGACCACTCATTATACAAATCATATATACCTAACTACTGTAGTCACTTCTGTAGTCACTATTGTAGTCACTACTGTAGTCACTACTGTTGTCACTTCTGTAGTCACTATTGTAGTCACTACTGTAGTCACTACTGTTGTCACTACTGTAGTCACTACTGTAGTCACTACTGTAGTCACTACTGTAGTCATTACTGTAGTCACTACTGTAGTCACTACTGTAGTCACTACTGTAGTCATTACTGTAGTCACTACTGTAGTCACTACTGTAGTCACTACTGTAGTCACTATTGTAGTCACTACTGTAGTCACTACTGTAGTCACTACTGTAGTCACTACTGTAGTCACTACTGTAGTCACTAGTGTAGTCACTACTGTAGTCACTACTGTAGTCACTACTGTAGTCACTACTGTAGTAACTACTGTAGTTACTACTGTAGTCACTACTGTAGTCACTACTGTAGTCACTACTGTAGTCACTACTGTAGTCACTACTGTTGTCACTACTGTTGTCACTACTGTAGTCACTACTGTTGTCAATACTGTAGTCACTACTGTAGTCACTACTGTTGACTGTTGTCACTACTGTAGTCACTACTGTTGACTGTAGTCACTACTGTAGTCACTACTAGCCATCCCAAAGACTAAGAACACGTCACAGAGGCAGCACACTCATCCTCATATTAAATTGTCTCTACTTCCCAAAGCAAGAGAGTAATTTAGCCAATTTCAAACCACATACATCACAAATTGGTCCAAGTTATCTCCAGCAAGTGGCATTTTCTCCAGCATTAGCTCACAGCTAAGTGCTTCAGTTGCAGCTAACCTCTCGGCTATTTGTATTGAATTATAGTGGACATGTCTTACAAGTTCTTGATTTAGAAACAATGAACTAATGAAGCTTAATTTCTTAAATTCAGAAAATATGTTCAAAAGGTTGTTGTGGGGTTTTATCTCCCGTATTATTTACTTCATATCTTAGACTATCTGGTGTAATATCTGCATTCCATTTCCTGCTGTTCTTCGTTTAGTGACCAGTGCATTGTGACTGAAACTTGTTGTTCTATTCATGTTCAAATTCAATTTGAAAAGATTAAATTAAATATACTTTCAAGGGGGGAGTGGTTAATTTTCATGTTTTTTCAAGCCTCAGTTTTTAGTTCCATTATTGGGAAACATGCATAAATTAATAACTCTCGTTTCTACAAACTTTTAAATTGATATGGTACACTTAAATGAGGTTGTTCATGTTGCTAGGTGACGCTGAGGGTGTCGCTAGGTGATAGAAAGTTCTAGAATGGTCTTCAGGATATCTTCATTAAGCTTCGTATAAGATAGCCGCCATATTCATTGTTTTTACCACTGTTGTTCCGGCGTGAAGATTTGATTTAGTGGATTTATATTTCTGACGGTGAATATTTAATTATGCTGAACATTCCTGTTGGATATTATTCTAGTTTATTGTTGGTGTGAATACATGAACATCTTTAGAGTCCGTCATGTATTTAACAGATGTTAAAATGTAAAGCTTGATAATATTATATTATATTACTATTACCTTTACTATTATTACCTTCACTTTGGCTTTACATCTCGTTAGTTTTGTCCGCGTTTCCTGCTGTATTATCTTGTTGTTTTCAGGTCGTCCCCTACGTTTGATGTTCATGTGTACAAAGAGCCAGGTTTTAACTTTGCCAACTACAAATATAAATTAAAATTATTCTTGTTTTCTTCTAAAGCTTCACGTCAAAAATAGTATAGCTGCAAATATACTTGGCTGGGTCATTTTAGGTCAAATTGCCACGGATGTATTATTATATACTAGTTTGCAGAGAGACAGAAATTATACCAATTTATAGTGGTGATTAGAGCTTATTTACTAACCTTACCAGGCTCATTATAAAATTAATTTGTCATGCTAGGTGTGTATTTGTCGTGCGCGCGGGTTTCACGCTGAATTTATAAAACCATTTTGTTAAAACTGACATTTTTCCCTGTGGAACTTCCTAACTTTTTCCCCATTTTATGATATTTTTATGATTGCACCAAAATATTTTATATAATAGCCGGATTAAAACAAATGTTCATTTGAGCATTTAACGTTTAAAACTGCCTGATTTTACAGTTGACCTTGTCAATAACTAGGCCTTCAAAAATAAAATACCTACTACAACTACAGAGTTTACATCTGTCATTTCACAAGTTAAAACTCAATTAGTGCGTCAAGTTGGACACTAAAAAGGTACAGTGGTACAAACCCATCACTACCCCTGGTGTAGACCTCTCCTGTACTTTAGGAAAAACTACAAGCTCCGCCGACGATTAACTAAATTACCCCCATTAAGTTTATTAGCTCATTTTTTCCCTATTGGATCACAAAACCACGTGAGGTTAATCCAGCGCTGTGATTGGTTGCTATGGAGTGGTCACGTGGTTACTGAGCAACGGCTCTGTCAACACGTATACCTCATGTAAGATTTGATAATTTTAAGCGAACTTCACTCTATCCCCCAATCCAGTTCAGAGTCACATCACTTTAATTAACATCTCGTTATTAATTAACTTAATAAGTTATTAATTAACTAAATAAGGTTAACTTACTGACATCCTGTCAACTGATCAGTACAATTAGATAAGTGCAAATTATCAGTTGTACTGCTACCAAGTTCCGGCAGTGTTCACACACGTAATTCCGGCAGCATCACAAGCCAGTGTAATCACCAGTACGCTTGTGCAATCACCAGTACACTATTACAAAATGTATCGGAGATTCTGAAGTGATGAAAATCATAATTATTGCCGGGTAGTTTGTAGCATCATAAGCCAATGTGCAGGATTTGCGACTTTGCTCTGTTTTTAAACATATTCCAACTTTTATAGTTTCAAGTCATAATTTCGTGTCAACGGTCTATATTCGCTTGTTAGAGTCATTTAAATCTTGCTTTATATACGTTATACTAGTTAACTGAACTTATTTCCGGTAGAATGCTTTAACATTAGGTACTGATCAGCTAATTGATGATAACATAATCGTGTGACAATTTTACTTACTATAATGAGTATTTATTAAGTTATTACAACAGTTAGCTGAGAGTTTAAAATAAAGTCTGGGACAGGATCCGTGATGGTCGAGTGTGGGCAACCTTTAAACAGTAACGACGTTTACTAATGAAGCTAACGCTGTTCGAAGTACAGTTTTCACTTTTGACTAGACCGTTTTGCTGTGTTTTATGTTTCAATTAGATACACTTAACTACTCCTGTTTAGTACCACGGACTCTTGATCAGATAAGTAGCAAGGACCCGACCATCGGACAATCTTAAAACTAAATAAAATTTTATTCTTTACAAAATCCCCCGTTTGTTTGTAATTATAGTTAAAAATAAAATGAACTGAAGATTTTCATTGCGGATTATGACTTGTGTTAAATGTTAAAATATGAAGGTTCGGCAGCTTCAATCAAGTCGAGATACTGTCTTCATAGCAAGTTTAGAGCAAACGTGGTAAGTCAAAACATTTAACATTGAGGTGGGACCTGAGCCTCCCAGAGGGAGGGTACGAATAAAATATTTCATTTTATTTGAACTTCAAAAGATTGATCAAAATGAATCCACTTATGTGTGACAAAGCCATCTAATGAACGTACCACGTACCTATTTGCTATTGAATTTCTTAAAATGATACGACTGACATTCTACTAAACCCAGTAAACATACTCATGCAGATTTACAAATTACTCTGGATTCCTTGTTGATATGATACACCAAATTCTAATAACGTTGAGCTTAATTCTGTTTCCAACTGCAGTATCCTGTACCAACTGTTTTACGTCTTGATTAGTTTCACAGCGATACATGTTTGAGAGATCCGTGAATGAATCATCTATATCAGTATCCAATGACGTGTTTAGATTTGGGCCCTCAGTTAGAGGGTTTTATGGTTACATTTAACAATGTTATTATCAATTTAACAATTTTATCATACGGTCTTATACTTTATCTCTTATCTCTAAGCTCGTTTGGATTTGAAGAAGGTGATGGAAACAAGATTCAGAAAGATCTGATCCTACTTACTTTAACAAACACTCACCGCCTACTTTTAGAGACGGTAACTGTGAAATTACCGTTATTACTACAAATTCTACTGGGTTAATGGCCACGTGACTCTTCTTTATTGACCAATCATATGGCTTTATTTGTGACGCATGACCTCTCTCCACCAATCAGGAGCCGTTATTTCGCCCACGTGCCCTCTCTGCTCAATTAATCAGCCGTCACAGGTCAGAGAGAGGGGATAACGGCTTGTGTTTGGCTGGAATAAGTCACGTGACACAAACCGAGTCAGCTGATTGGTGAGGATGAGTTGGCTGGTGCGGGTGTGTGTGTTTGTTCATGTCTCTTCTCGATCCTAACACATATACCCGGTCAAGCTTCAAGAGCAAGTCTTAACTTTTAGATAAGACATCTTATCTTAATACCCTTTTATACAGGGGTTCTAGTTTCATTTGAGTTTGTTTTCAAAACACAATATGCAGTTATTCCAATAAGCTCCTTTGATTAACTGTTCATTACAAATATTGGAAGAAACACTCGAAATGAATTTGTGATATTTTCTATTTTGACCAGTACGCAAAAAACATCAATATTCAGACACTTTGATCGCCCCCTCCCAGTTTTTTGTCTCTTAGATAAAGCCAGATAACATCACTCGAAAAGTACGGTGTTATACCAGGACCTTATTTGTCCACTATAACCTACCACAAGTCCTTATTTATCCACGATACAACATACTACAGGAACATATTTTCTTACCTTCTCTTAAAATCCCAACTTCCTGCCTATTGGAGGGTTGTTGTACATACCAGAGCGGGTATTACTTCGATAAGAGGAAGCCTTGTTGAGCGAGGGCTGCTGTTGTGTTCAAATTGAGTACTGACACATCATATGTTATATATTATAGTGTTATATCCTAGATTCTAGGGAATTCTGTCGATCAAATAGTGCATATTTCATGAGCAAATTAGAGTTGATATATTTTGTAGCTATTTCTTTGAGTACCCAGCTGACTGTATAGAACTAGTTGTTTACCCAATCTCACGGCGTGTGTCACGTGGTTAACTGATCAATGGAAGAACATGCTATTATCTGCATTTTTTGGTCAACAAAATTCATTGGCCAAAAGTTTTTTAGACTTGATGGCTTCTGAGTAATGGCTGTTTGAGGTGAAGGACTGGGAACCTACTGTTGTACAGTTTTGATACAGCTATGGTTTCATTAGTGGCATTGTATGCTAATAATTCTGAAAGGAATCACAGTGCTTCTATTGTCTGAGTAACCAATGAGTTTCACTGGTCATGCTGCACGCACTAGTGGGTAAAACAATGCAAGTGTAATTATAGCCATGAGCAGGGAGAAACGCGTGGTATTTGTCAATGGGAGGGGAGATATGAACATTGCAATCCTTCCTGGCTTGGCACGTGTCCAAAACCTGACCTGGCACGTTACCATAACCTGAGCTTCCTGACCAATACGAACCACGGTTTTGGACACGTGCCAAGTCATACATCAAGTGGAATGAATGGTACATATATAAGATACTTTATCATTCTGGGCATATTGATAGCTCTGAGTTGTGATTGTGACGTTTGACGTGTGAGTATCACGTGATAGGATTGGTTGCTATGACAATGATACCACGTGGATACCGTTCTTAAGATAAGAAAGTGATAATTTATATATTCTAGAAAACCTCTCTCTCCCACTAATTACAGTCGTCTTCTTATAACTACTTAGGATAAAGTGCATATTACCCCGTATAATATTAAATATTTTAAGCATGCTACCCAGCAATTGTAACTGTGAATTTGTCTAATTAGGGATTTTCCGGTTTGATAGGGGCTTGATGGCCAGCTTTTGATTGTCTCGATTAATGACACCTCCTCTTGACGTTGTGTTTTGCGGGTATAAGCTCAGTTACTATGCTGCATAAATAATGTTTTGTATAATTAGTAAACCTTAGAGTTCTTGTGAGTGTTGGTTGTAGTATAGCTGTGACAGAGGTTAAGAGCCGAGTAGTTTCTGTCTATTTCAATCTGTCTGTTCAGTTTAAACTTTAAATTAATTTACAATTTCAGCCAGTTTATTTTTTTATCTGCTTTTTACAATACTTTCGTTATTAATTGAAACAGCTATCATAATCCGGCTCTTTATTTAGTTGTCTCTTTTTACAATCGATTACAATTCAAACTGTTAAAAAAGAGTCCTTAATTTCCCCAGTTGTGCACTACTTTACCACACACTAACATTGTACGGTTTCAGTGTCTACTGTCTACTTCGGGTGGTTTCTATATTACTAGGGCCGTCTAAATCTTCACATTCACTCTTTTACTCCTTCATCAACCTGTTTCATACGGCTGTTTCTAGTATGATAACATTAACACCGTGAAAGTTGAAACCATTGTTAGAATCGCACTGTCACCACCAATTAACAAGGTCGGAGTCATATCATGTTCACCCGGCAAGTAGGTACCGACCGGCTGTTATATGGCTATTAGCCGTTCAGAATAGTCTCTGCTTTGTTTTTTAACTTGCTATTAAAATAATTAATAAAACGATGGTTAAAAGTAATTTGATGCTAAGGCAGTATGCTAATACGTAAAATAGTTTGTTAAATTAACTGACAATATTAATGTACAGTAGCTCCTTAATAATGTATATTATATTAGTTTGTTAAATATTAATGTAATCAAGGATTGTGCAGGAATGTAGTGCTATGGTACGGTTACGAGACAGCTACATTATAAAACATGAGGATAGTTGAAATAGTACCCATATTTGTGATACTCTGGGAAGTTGGAATTCCTCGTGCACAGCCAGGTAAATGCACGAATATGCACGCGCGTAGGCGGGTAAATCATGCACGAATATGCACGTGCCGTAATGTATCGAGCAATTCGATTTTGGCGCCCGCTTGGCCTCTAACTATTACAATTAAACCTCCTTTGAGAACTAATTTGCTGTATATTCACGTCTTTATTTATAAATTTGTGCAAAATATGTTGACGAGCTGTTTTAACCGCGAGAATTTTAGAAATTGTGAATTGTCTGCAAAATTGTAGACAGCAATTATTTAGTGTTACCTCATTCTACCAAGACAGAGAAATGAGAATGTTACATGTGTGAATCAGAATACTGAATATCTAGAGCATGTTACAAACCTCACGACAAATGAAGTGTAAAATAAATCCTTGTACAATGTACATATTTTATGACATGACGAGTAAAAAAATCTTTGTGTTTCAGAGGAAATGTACAAATAATTAATAAATCCTTGTGTTTCAGATGATACATCAGACAATGAGAACTTTGCCTGCTACAGATGTGTAACAAAAGGAAGACTCTGATGTTTGTGAAGAGATAGACGATAAATGTGCTTACAAGAAGTGTGCTAAGGTAATTATACTACTAATTATAATCCTAATACTAATATTACTAATATTACTAATATTACTAATATTACTAATATTACTAATATTACTAATATTACTAATATTACTAATATTACTAATATTACTAATATTACTAGTATTACTGCTAAACAGTCTTGCTTCCAATTTGGCTATGATGTTGAAGTAACAGTAATCACATGTTGTGTAACTGGATGTCTGGGTGTGCATTGTCCAGTAACAACTCGTTACAGATTTAACAAGGTTGTTAAATACGTATTAGGAGGGAATACGTATTGGAATACGAATACGTATTAATCCTCGAAAATTGACGTATTACGAAAAGGTGTGTCGTGCGCGCAAAAAATTGTTTGCTTATCGGATTATCCATGAAATTTGATTACAAATTTAAGTTATCATGTATAACTGCACTCCTTTAATGCATGATCAATGATGAGGGTGGCGCGCAGCTGTAATGTTTAATTTTGTCTTTGACAAATCAGCGTATTACGGCGTATTATGGCGTATTCGTGGACGTATTTAACAATCCATAGAAATTACCGTATTACGGCGTATTACGACGTATTCTTTATTAGAACCGAATACGTCGTATTATTTCACGAAAATTTGACGTATTTAACAACCTTGACAGATTATGCATTATTTAATGAAGAGATTTGTCCATTATGAGTACATTATCAAAAGTGAAATGCTCAGTACATCTTCAAATTGTTTAGAGGTTATTACATTGTGCTTTTCTGTAAGCCATGTATATCCGGTTAGTGGTTAAGTAGTACTTAGTAGTAACTAATAGTTGGTATAGTAGTAGTACAACTACAAGTTAGTAGTAACTAATAGTATAGTATTAGTAACTACTAGTAGTATAGTAGTAACTAATAGTTGGTATAGTAGTAGTACAACTACAAGTTAGTAGTAACTAATAGTATAGTAGTAGTAACTAATAGTATAGTAGTAGTAACTAATAGTATAGTAGTAGTAACTAATAGTATAGTAGTAGTAACTAATAGTATAGTAGTAGTAACTACAAGTAGTAGTAACTATAACCAACTACTAGTAACTAGTTCATTTTCAGATAAAGTATGAGGAGAACGGTGAAATTAAGATAATAAGAGAGTGTACTCCCCACAAGAGCTCAGTAGCAGGTCAGTAATATACAATACAATATAATACACATGTATAATACAGTACATACAATACAATATACAATGTAGTATAGAATATACAATACAATACAGTATACAATACAATAAGTATACAATACAACACAGTATACAATACAGTATACAATACAGTATACAATACAATATACAATACAGTATACAAAACAGTATACAATACAGTATACAATACAGTATACAATACAGTATACAATACAGTATACAATACAATACAATATATTACAATATAGTACAATACAATATAACAAATATTAAAAATATCAATTATAAACGTCGTGCTCATAATACGTTAGTTCTTGATTTGCTTTTAAAATAATTCCAATAATAAATTAATAGTATAATCAATTAATTATATAATTAATTAATTGCATATTTCATTAATAAGACAACTATTCAACCTTATAATTAACCTGCACCCACCCCAACAGCGGAGATATGCAGTCAGTCAGAACCGTTAAAGAACAAGCCTTGCGACGCATGGTTGTGTGATAAACCACTGTGTAACGGAGGAGACCGTGTGATAGCGCCGCCAGTCGGCGCTAACGGAGCCGCCCAGACCCTGCTCTCGACCATTATCTTCTTAACTTACTTCCTAGTGTACGGCTAGGGGGGCTTGTCAGTGGCTGGTTAATGGCCGTTGCTAGGCTGATCTTGTGGTGTATATAATGTGGTTGAATTGGTTGTGCTCTAGTTCAAATTATGGAGGTTGAGTTAGGAAGTGAAGATAGAAGCTTATGACTTGAGGTCAATTAGTTCATAACAACATATACTCGATTTATTGGAGCGGGCATGGGAACTTCAGCTGAGGTCAGTGAAGGACGGAAATGAAAGAGAAACTCTTCAAATGAAAGCGAAACTCTTCAAATGAAATCGAAACTCTTCAAAATGATAAAACTAGATTCAAAATGAAATTAAAAATCATAAAACTTGGGTGTACACCAGTGTCAGAATATTTTACAATGTGAGTTTAATCAATTAATTAATCAAACGGATCACTGACGTTGGTTAAAAGCTAACTAACTGTTTATAACGAATCATCTGGAGGTTAAACCGGGAAACTACTGATCATTGGTAGGATTATGTGCTGGATTACCGGCGGGGAGGCGATGTCAATTAGTACGGGAAGGAAAATGGTATTCTTCCCCGGCTCCAACAGTTCTAGTTCATTTTGAGGGATAAATTTACAGTTATTTCATGACAAGTGTTTATTAGTAATTTATCTTATTTTAGTTACTCGGGCGTTCCTAAGGCGTTCCTAAGGCGTTGCTAAGGCGTTATTAAGACGTTGTTAAGGCGTTGCTAAGGCGTTGCTAAGGCGTTGTTAAGGCGTTGTTAAGGAGTTTCTAGTGTGTTTCACAAAAGATCTCCTGGTTTTGCGTTGTTGAATATTTTAAATTTACGAGGCAGATATATATCTGTAGTATATCATGTAAAAATATTTAAGAGTGAATATCCCAGAATTTTTCACAAAAAAACAAATGAACGCTAATTTCATTTGGTATCTTTGTACCTTTGTATGCAAAGATAAAATTACTTTAAGTTTCTAAGAGACCAATAAAGATGCGAAACTGGAAATCCTTACAATTCCAGCCCTCCTTACAGAGGTTTTGAGGGTAAAATGTTGTGTCGTTTTTATCTTAAAGTTAACGGCTTTACTTTTTCCTATTGAAATTAATTTATTTTTCTAAGAACGAAATAACGAATTTCACTTTTTCTCATCGGCGTATAAAAGTATAAATAATAAGACGTATGCTGACATAATCACTTTCTAGTAAAATTCCTTAACTAATATAATTAAACGACTTGAAAGTTAATGATTTTCGATTGAAAAACCGAAGCAGCATGAACATAATCACCCCTGCTAGCATTCATTAATAGTTCAAAACGTGATCAGAATAGAACACCAAAACGAAAACCGAACGATACATTTTCAAAGATATGTTGGTAATCAAAATAATAAATTAGTTCCAAAAATTATCATATATATAACTCCGAACTCTTGAAGCCCCAGATCATCACACTACAGTAATTTAATAATTTAATTTAATGTTAATTTCTTGATTATGATAATTACTGATGAAGCTATCGACGAAGCCTTCATTTCCGTTCTTATAACAAAACGGTTTATATAAAACTCAGGTGAATGTTAGCCAGCTTAATTGATGGTGACTCCACAATTTCACTAATTAACGTTGGGGATCAAACTCACATTGCACCTCTTAATTAGAGGCCCATTGGAACCCCTCCCTGCTTAGCTACCATATAGTAATTAACATAGTTACCATCTGATATACTCAGTATAAACAGCTCACTTGAGTCTAACACGTGACCAATATAATTGCGCTCACGTGGTGTGAATTTAGTCCAATCTTCATCCCCGAGTCTTAGTTTCTAATTCTTCTTGCTGAAGAGCGATTTCTTTGGTTTTGCGAGTTCTTTTTTCTTTTCCTGCTGATTTCTCACCCTGGAAAATTTAAACAATAAGCTCAACGTGATACATGACAATAGACAGTTTTTGGGTTTTCCAAATAGTTTCTGATTATTCTGATTTGCGACAAATGATATTGCACTGTTAGGATAAACGACGTTTCAAAGTAACAACTTCTTATTCATGCTCAAATTATTTGTTATATAGTAGTGTTGAAAGTATTAACACGTAGAGGGATCACAACGTAAATATGTACTCGGAAGGTTATGAAGAGATTAGCAAGGGGTTTTTAGATAACTCGTTATGGCCAAATTTGAATACGACTCAAGAAAAAAAATCAAATTCTTTTAAATTATTAATTTAAAGAACATAATACGACGATTTATTAAAAGTTGAGATTACCAGAATCTATAGTCAGTAAGATCCAAGATCTTCTCTCCATAATAATCGTCAGATAAGCTAGTACTAGAGCTGCAGCGGTGAAAGTTCACCCTCCTGTTGAAATCCAGCAATCTCTGCGGAGAACAAGATTGGTTAAAGAACACATGAACACTATAACTAGTGGGTTCATTTTGATTCAGGAGAAATGTTTATACGCCATTAGAAGCAGGGGGGTTTGTAGAGCAATCTTTTATGTTTTTGTTTCTCATTCCATGTTTTGCTGGTGGACCGTTCAAATATATAGACCCACCTTCCTCTCCGCCACAACTTTGCCATCATAAATAAATCACACTAAGGGGTCGTTCACATATTACGTAATCATTTTTAAAAAACATTTTTACCCCCGGCCCCCCCCCCCCCCCTCCGTAATCAGTTTTACACATAGTTATTGTGTCAAAATTACACTAGCGTAATCATTCGGAAACGCCCCCCCCCCCCTCAGCTGATAACGTAATATGTGAACAACCCCTAAGACCCCGCTCATTGAACACCAACCGTCCCCCTCTCATTGAACACCAACCGTCCCCCCCTCATTGAACACCAACCCTCCCCTCTCATTGAACACCAACCGTCCCTCCTCCCCCTCATTGAACACCCCTCCCCCCTCATTGAACACCAACCGTCTCCCCCCTCATTGAACACCCCTCCCCCCTCGTCCTTAGTAGATTATTAAAATAAAGTAGAGTAATGTCAGTACCTCATTGTACTGCTTGCTTCGTCTCGAGAGGAGTAAAGATGTTTTGGAGGTGAGGTAAAAGAGAGAACCTCCCGTTAAAATGGAGAGGGTTACCGTACCCGCTCCTATCATAACGAGGGAGTCAAAACCCCTGCGGATATATTAATTAAATTATTACTAGTTAAATAGATAGTTTATTGATGAATTGGCGAATACAAAACAATTGCACAACTTTTATCTTTTAACATAGGATCTATAAATAACTCACATGATCATAGTTGGCTCGGGGCCAAAGTATTCCGGGAACCAAGTATAGGAAAGAGCTCCGTAACCAAGAACACCTCCACCAAACCCTGACCAGGCCTGAGATAAAGAGCTATAGGACTCTGGGTGCTAGGAGTTATTGTTCAGCAACATTGAGACAATCGAATGACTACTAAAGATTGTAATTTGGAATTATTTCATGGTGTTATTGTTGTTACGATAACTAAAATAAGACTTATAACTATAAAATAACACCACTTACCATTGCAAGCTGTCGTATCTTAAGACTCTTCTTCATGGTGATGAAGTCCTTGAATCCCATGGGAAGGTGATATCCTACAGGGGTGCTGTACGCATCGTTGATGGCAGATATCCTGGCGAGAGCTGCTTCTCCAACCGGTTGAAGTGGACTGAGAGGCTCCAACACTACGGTATCATCCACCCCTGCCGCTGATTCCTCCTCTATCGCTGTGAAATCTGCGTCTTGTACGGCATCTTCTGGTGCTGCTTCGGGTACCGCCTCTAGTGCTGCTTCTGGTGCCGCTTCTGGTGCTGCTTCTGGTGCCGCTTCTGGTGCCGCCTCAAGTGCTGCTTCTGGTGCTGCTTCTGGTGCCACCTCAGCCGCAGCGATTGATGCAGTTTCTTTAATAACATCAGTTACTGCTTCAGCAACCAACTTTTCAGCCACCTTTTCTCCAACCTTTTTAGTGGTTTCAGTTATAGTTTCGATAACTTCTTCGGCGACGGGTTTTTCGGTTTCGGCAGCAGTTATTTCTTCAGCAGCATCAGCTACAACATTTTCAGCTGCAGCAGGGATTTCCTCAGCAGCATCGGCTACAACTTCTTCAGCTGCAGCAGAGGTTTCCTCAGCAGCATCAGCTACAACTTCTTCCGTTTCTGCCACAGAAATTTCATCGGGAGCATCTGCAACAACTTCCTCGGCTGCTGTAGGAATTTCCTCAGCAGCATCGGCTACAACTTCTTCGGTTGCTGCAGCAGAAATCTCTTCGGCGGCATCGGCTACAACTTCTTCGGCTGCAGCAGAGATTTCTTCAGCAGCATCGGCTACAATTTCTTCAGTTGCTGCAGCAGAAATTTCTTCAGCAGCATCGGCTACAACTTCTTCGGTTGCTGCAGCAGAAATTTCTTCAGCAGCATCGGCTACAACTTCCTCCGTTGCTGCAGCTGATATTTCTTCAGCGGCATCGGCTACAACTTCTTCCGTTGCTGCCACAGAAATTTCTTCAGCAGCATCTGCAACAACTTCTTCCGTTGCTGCAGCTCTTATTTCTTCAGCGGCATCGGCTACAACTTCTTCGGTTGCTGCAGCTGATATTTCTTCCGCAGCATCGGCTACAATTTCTTCGGTTGCTGCAGTAGAAATTTCTTCAGCAGCATCTGCAACGACTTCCTCGGTTGCTGCAGCTGTTAATTCTTCAGCGGCATCAGCTACTACTTCTTCGGTTGCCGCTACTGAAATCTCTTCAGCAGCATCTGCAACGACTTCCTCGGTTGCTGCAGCAGAAATTTCTTCAGCTGCATCAGCTACTACTTCCTCGGTTGCTGCAGCTGATATTTCTTCAGCAGCATCGGCTACAACTTCTTCGGTTGCCGCAGCAGAAATCTCTTCAGCGGCATCAGCTACAACTTCTTCGGTTGCTGCAGCTGATATTTCTTCCGCGGCATCGGCTACAACTTCTTCTGTTGCTGCAGCAGAGATTTCTTCAGCAGCATCGGCTACAACTTCTTCGGTTGCTGCAGCTGATATTTCTTCCGCAGCATCGGCCAGAACTTCTTCGGTTGCTGCAGCTGATATTTCTTCCGCGGCATCAGCCATAACTTCTTCTGTTGCTGCAGCAGAGATTTCTTCAGCAGCATCTGCAACAACTTCTTCCGTTGCTGCAGCTGAGATTTCTTCGGCGGCATCGGCTACAACTTCTTCGGTTGCTGCAGCAGATATTTCTTCAGCAGCATCGGCCAGAACTTCTTCGGTTGCTGCAGCAGAAATTTCTTCCGCGGCATCGGCTACAACTTCTTCGGTTGCTGCAGCTGAGATTTCTTCAGCAGCATCTGCAACAACTTCTTCCGTTGCTGCAGCTGAGATTTCTTCGGCGGCATCGGCTACAACTTCTTCGGTTGCTGCAGCTGACATTTCTTCAGCAGCGTCGGCCAGAACTTCTTCGGTTGCTGCAGCAGAAATTTCTTCCGCGGAATCGGCTACAACTTCTTCGGTTGCTGCAGCTGAGATTTCTTCAGCAGCATCGGCTACAATTTCTTCGGTTGCTGCAGCAGAAATTTCTTCAGCAGCATCTGCAACGACTTCCTCGGTTGCTGCAGCTGTTATTTCTTCAGCGGCATCAGCTACTACTTCTTCGGTTGCCGTTACTGAAATCTCTTCTGCGGCATCGGCTACAACTTCTTCGGTTGCTGCAGCTGATATTTCTTCAGCAGCATCGGCTACAATTTCTTCTGTTGCTGCAGCAGAAATTTCTTCAGCTGCATCGGCTACAACTTCTTCGGTTGCTGCAGCTGATATTTCTTCAGCAGCATCGGCTACAACTTCTTCTTTTGCTGCAGCTGATATTTCTTTGGTTGCTGCAGCTGATATTTCTTCCGCGGCATCGGCTACAACTTCTTCAGTTGCTGCAGCTGTTATTTCTTCCGCGGCAGCAGCAACAACTTCTTCGGTTGCTGCAGCTGAGATTTCTTCCGCGGCATCAGCAACAACTTCTTCGGTTGCTGCAGCTGATATTTCTTCCGCGGCATCGGCTACAACTTCTTCAGTTGCTGCAGCTGTTATTTCTTCCGCGGCATCAGCAACAACTTCTTCGGTTGCTGCAGCTGAGATTTCTTCCGCGGCATCAGCAACAACTTCTTCGGTTGCTGCAGCTGATATTTCTTCCGCGGCATTGGCTACAACTTCTTCAGTTGCTGCAGCTGATATTTCTTCAGCTGCTTCAGCTACAACTTCTTCAGTTGCTACAGCAGAGATTTCTTCGGCAGCTTCAGCAACAACTTCTGTGGTTGCCGCAGCAGAAATTGCTTGAGCAGCCTCGGATAAACCAGTTGCAGTTGCACCTAACGCCTCAGAAAGACGCTCTTGGAGAGCCTCTGTTTCTTTGTCAATTAGATTCATAGCCTCGACGATTTCCAGCTTTGCAGCTTTTATTGCGGACAGGGCCTCAGCAATCTTGGACAAAGAGTCCGGATCTTTCCCATCTTCATTTACTTTTACAAAACTGACTGGTTCAGACGCTTTCTCGGACAGAGTTCTAGCGATGACATGGTGGTACTGGCGGCACAGCGAGGTTAGTCTGACTCCTCTAATCATAGTACAGCAGTCATTCTAGAACCTAAAAAAGTCGTGTCGTAAGCATTATGAAGAAATCTAAATAAATCTAGAAATATCATGGTAGATTTGTAATAACTATTCGTCTTGTAAAAGTTTAAATATGGCAAATTTTAGTGGTCACAGAAACGAAAATAGAAGTAGAATTTTAAATTATCATCGAAGACTACAAGTACAAATAACAAAAGGGTATAAAAACATTTCGGCTACCATTAATTTAGGTAGCCGGTTGCCACATAAGTGCCGATTTTAAAAAGCTGCTAAAATGGTCTAAAAACCTTAAAATTATGCATTTATTCAAAGAGCTCTTGAGAAATAAATTAATTCAACTGACTTCCAGCCGGGAAAACCCCATATTTGGTAATCAATCAATTTGAAGTTTTTTATCAGATTGACTATCTTTCAACTACCTAAAATAAATTCAGCATCGTTATATCCGATCGAAAAGCAATCTCAGCTTTTTATTTTTTCTAAAAACGGAAATCCTACCACATCGTTTCTATCATTTCATACCATCAATGCAGCCAAAGTCAAATTTACTTTTAAAATAAAGCTTATCTTGAGGCTATAAATCACGCTGCCTAAAAGTTAAACGTAGAAGGGACCTCGAACGAGTTCTCAAAATTATAGCCTCCCTGATTTTCGATCATCTCACTTCGTTTCCGATCAGTTTCCCTATCCGCATACTGAATTAAACTCTCCATATCCTTCTTAAGATCATCATCCACACACTTCATGAGAACTTCATGCCCGCCCTCGTTCTGCATGAGGAATTCCAACAATCTCTTGAATGTGGTGAACTCACATGGTGATGTTTCCTCGTCGTCTAGGATTGTGTCGAAACATTCCAGGTGCTCCAAGTCAAACATTCCTGCAAAGGGGGGAAACTTACTTAATAATTAATTAATAAATATATTTATTATTTTCTTTATACCTATTTATTATTTAAGATTCTTACTTCACACCTATTAATGAATACATCTTCTTCCCTTCTCTTAATACATTTATAATAACTAATGCGGCAAGAATTTTAAACTAATACGAGTATACTTCTCTAATGACAGAAACACAGTGAAGGAATGTTTCAAATACCTGACATGTCTCCAGGAACGAACTCCTCTAGTTTTGTAAGATACTCTGTGCCCTCGTCATCCCACTCATCATCTTCTGATTCCAACTCCTCATCCCCCTCTCCTGCCTCCTCCCCCTCCTCCCCCTCACTCTCCTCATTCTCCTCCTCCCTCCGCAACTGATACGCCACCCTCAGGTTCTTGAGTAGTGTTATGAAGTACGGTATCAGCTTGTCCGCTAAATGGTCGAATGGTTTAGGAGCTGAGGGGTGCATTATCAGCTCACACAGTCCCAGTACTGCTACCTGGGGGATTTGTGACGTTATGTTACGTGATGTGACGTCATGTCACTTGGTAAGTATTATTATTTTAACTACAGATTATATTATTTCAGTTAGTATTGACATGAATGTTACGATTTCAGTTTATTTATATATTACATTGTCAATAAACCGGTTTCAAAGCCCTTAAGGGTGGCCCTCGGGTCTTTAAAACAATAAAACAAAACAATGTTACGAAGTGTGACGTCATGTCACTTGGTGTGACGTCATACTCATATTATGTATTACCCGAAATTACGTGAAATGGCGTCGTAACTACGACACATAATGTTACGTAATCACTCTGTTACAGTGGCGTAACGTTACGCCACTGCTCCTGTTACTCACCTTCTTGTCGTGTATCCCAATGAAGACCTCAGCATCACTGAAAAGCTGGTTAAAGAACTGTTCCACCACGGACTCGGAACTGTTAGGTAGTTTGTACTTGTCCAGCAGGTGCATTGCTAGTAACGGGTTATACCAGATAGCTGAAAGGACTGTGTCACAACTCTAAATAATTATACAGCTGGTAATTAGAACTAGTAATTATGGGAGGATGAACATAAAAATAGGCTGACAGAACAAAATATCATCGCATCATATTTCACTTAAAGCTTAAAAAACTTCTCAGTCATCGCATCTACTAGTACTATAACAGTTATTGTAATCATCTGGTTATAGACGTAGGTAATGATAGAGAGTGACTGAGTGGGCCAGTGAATACAAATTTGTTATGACACGTGATGACACGTGTCATAACAAATTTGAGTCCTAAAACAGGACTCAACCGGTCCCAGCCGAAATTGTGTTGACCCCTGTGTTGACCCCTGTGTTGAACCGTTTTACAGTAAGCTGAGTGGCTATATCCCACATCACATCAGCTGAAGATTTACACATGTATTTTGAAAGCTCCTGCTAAAACTAACTTTTCGTATCTCTTATATGTTTTAAAACAAATCCCCCTCCAGGCACATCACGTGACTATTTACCTGCAACTACGACGAGAAGTGCCATGTTACGTAACATGACGTCACACCACGTAACATGACGTCACACCACGTAACATGACGTCACACCACGTAACATGACGTCACCAATCCCCCTCCAGGCACATCACCTGACTATTTACCTGCAACTACGACGAGAAGTGCCATGGCACGAAGTTCCTGTGTCTGGACTGATTGAGCGAGCTTATCCAGCGCTAGGGACATGAACATGTGTAGCATGTGGTCTATCTTGCCTCTGGGGGTGGGATTTATTAGTTTGTTAATTAATATTCATTTACATTGAATATCTTACCTCTGAGCAGTGAGCAGTATAAGCAACATTTTATAGTTTGTTATGTTAATTAAATGATCCTTTATCGGTTAAGTGAGGAGAAATCAGGAGGTGACCGGGACATGATTTTAGGCCTGACCGGGACCGGGACCGGGACCGGGATACAAAATGTGACTTGACCGGGACCGGGACCGGGACCGGGACTGAGATTATCAATTTACCGTGACCGGGACCGGGACCGGGATCAATAATTTCTGTGATTTCTATCTTACCGGGACCGGGACCGGGACCGGGACCAACAATCCAATTTTACCGGGATGACCGGGATGACCGGGATTTGACCGGGATGACCGGGATGACCGGGATGACCGGGACCAAAACTGGTATTCTCATATTGAAAGCTGCAACTTTCATTTACATTATAATTGAACAATTTGAATAAGTAATAACTAGAATATTAAATTAGAAAAAACTAGAAAAAACCCGTCAATATGGGGCATGGGCCTAATGTACTACACCAATAATGTTCATGTACTGATTACTCAAGTTCACCATCATTCCTCATTCCTCAATCAATGATCCCTCAAATTATTCAACAGTTTCATTCTCCAATTCCAATTGACAATTGGGCGTAGCCCGAGTTGAAAACTTGATGTTAGTTTGCACTTATGAGTTATGTAACGATATTAGTTACCTAAACTTGTTTAGCAATTTTAAACATTGTTTTATTTGGCTCAGAGGTTGTTTAAAGATGAAATTCACAATGAATGAAAGTAAAAACTTAAAATCACAGTGAATGAAATTATGTAAAAGATCCCGGTCAAAATTCCGGCAAATTTGAGTGATTGACCGGGACCAGGACCGGGACCAGGACCAAGAATCCTGAATTAACCGGGACCGGGACCGGGACCGGGATCATAAATCAGCATTTGACCGGGACCGGGACCGCGACCGGGATGAAAAATGTGACTTGACCCGGTTTACCGGGACCGGGACCGGGACCGGGACCGGGACCGGGATAGCTCAAAATTGCCAATCCCGGTACCGGGATTCCCGGTACCGGGAATCCCGGTCACCTCCTGGGAGAAATGCGACAAAGAATAAGGTTCCATTTTTTGAATAACAATGATGACCTCATTTTAAGGTTAACTTACCTGTGGTTAACAATGATAACATCATTCTAAGGTTAACTTACCTGTGGTTAACAATGATAACCTCATTTTAAGGCTAACTTACCTGTGGTTAACAATTATAACCTTATTCTAAGGCTAACTTACCTGTGGTTAACAATGATAACCTCCACCAACTTCAATGCATTGTACTGTGGATCTTCACTCTCTTGTTTCTTCAGTACCGTTTTAGAAATATTGTACATTATCTCTGTAAAGATAATTTCTTAAAACTCTTTAGAATGACATATGATAATCATGGTAGGGACACGAATTTTATCGATTAAAAAGTACTGAATTGATGTATAATTGCTTGAAGTTTGAACCATATAAGATTAATATTCATTAAGAATCCAGATATTGAGCAATTTATTTTCCCGGTACAACCAAAATATTATTGGTATTCAATCCCGAATAAAACGTCACAAATTATTGATAATCGACTAATTGATCGGTAATTACCAATATATTGAGGGTTTGATAAAAATTTGGAGGAGTCTACAGTTGCGTAGTTATGTAGAGCTCCCATCATGTCTGGAAAGTAGTCGTGACCGTCGTTTTTAAACGCTTCGTACCTGAGGAGATATACTGTTTCACTTTCACTATAACTTGTACCTGAGGAGAGACTGTTTCACTTTCACTATAACTTGTACCTGAGGAGATATACTGTTTCACTTTCACTATAACTTGTACCTGAGGAGAGACTGTTTCACTTTCACTATAACTTGAGATGGTTGCATGTTGAGGGGCCGGGGGGGGGGGGGGGGGAATTATCGCCGATTTGTCCATTTTCACAATCCGTTTGTACGGTCCAATTTTTCGGAATTTATTTGTGGTAAATAGTGGTGAAACGAAATATACAATGCTCGTCTTCTTCGCTAACCAATTACCAAATGTCAAACATCGAGGTCTATTCTGATAAATGACGATGATTCTTGGGTGAATCTCATTTTCACGTGTTAGTGACCAGTAGTGAACGTCGAGTGACCAGTCGTTTATAAATACTAGCAGGAACCCGTATAATATAACCCTAAACGGTGTCAAGACTCAAAATACTAAAATAATTATTACCTATTTAATTGGCGTTTTTGACACCACTTGGGGGTCCAAATTTTCGGCTCTAAAATCATTATTCCTTGGCCAATTTTTTATTTTTTCATGCTGATTTGAAGGCCATTAAAGCATTTGACCCAGCCAAAAAAGTTCCAGTTGTATATCTTTTACGGTTTATGCGGAAAGTCGCGTTAAAGTTGATGCCGTGGTGTCAGTAAAATGGCACAGATATATATATATATATATTTCATGGCTGGACTTCTACACAATAAAAGAAAGCGGTTGTGATTAGATCGTCGAAAGTCTTTGCATCATTTATTTACATCAATTCTCAAATTATTTGTTATATAGTAGTGTTGAAAGTATTAAAACTATCGTCTCGCTTTATATATAGTAAGATACGTCCAGTTGTCATACATTTCATGGTTTGATACAGTAATCGTGATAAACTGCAACTGTAAACTGACAGTAAGATGTTAGTTTGTAGAGCTGTGACTTGGTTGAGGTAATATCTTGGGACGACTGAGTAATGTTGAAAATATTTTCCTGTACCTGATTTGTGAACAACAGATCGATGACATAAAATCCAGCCGTCAAATCACTGATAGATTTGTGGAGATGAATTCTATTCTCGTCCAAAATTAGTACTGAGTAAAAATTTCTAAGTATTTTGCAGACGGTATACCTTATCATCAGGTGGGTAGTTCTAAAAATTCACCATATTTGGTAAAATTTTGGGGTTAAAATGAAAGGAATGTCATATCGTTAAGTCAGTCGATCACCAGATCCAGATAATTCCATCACGTGACATAAAACAGCAGCACAATTTCAATATGATTTCAAAACACAGACTAAAACAATATCAGTATCTATGTGTCACGTTTATACTGCTCTGTGAATATTAAACATGAGCAGGGTTCTATTAGAAATACCATGGTGATATCTCACAGAGTTTGGAGAACAGACAGACAGGAATCTTAACAATCTCAACCAACATTCCAATGATTGAACAAGGTGGGTCCTGCTCGGAGAACCACGTGATAGATGCGAAGTGGTATAAAGCTGACAAGGTATCAGGAGATTCTTATCTGTTGTTATCAACAGCTCCTGATCTTCTTGTCTTGTAGATTTTCAGGAGCCCTCCTGATTTTCAGGAGCCCTCGTGAAGTGCTCTGTAAGGAGCATGTTGGGTTACGAACCCAACTTATTGTTTTATTTGTATCATGGAATATATTTTTGTTCAACACTTCCGTATAGCTAATTGATGTTATCAATCAGAGCGTCTATAATTATGATAACATGAAAATATAACCTTTTACTTTTTCACACTTCATATAAAAAATGTGTGCATTCCTTTGCTTGGTGTGGTTTAAAATGTATGATTTACACGTGCTTAGTGGTAAACTTTGCTCGGGAATATCATGATAGATTTATTGATAGCTTGGAAATTATTTTACGGACTAGTCTGCGGACTGGGTCGGGCTGCTCAACATTGTTTTCACTTTTTTCTTGATCTAGCTGTTCTTGCTATCCTTCAAATTCAATTTCATATTTTGTTACTACCGACTTTTTAACTTTTTATCGTTACTTAGTTAATATATGTATAAATTATAATTAATAAAACAATCTAACAGATATCTGTATTATCTTATTATTATTTTCTATTATAATTGATCGTAATGATTTAAGCACTATTAACATTTTCAAATTTTATCTCGATCTTTTATTTTCATTTTTATCACCAAGTTTGAGTATCTGTATACGACATTTTTTACTTTTTGGTCATAATGATCCCAGTAAGATACTTATTTTTCCACATAATGTACAGTCAGCTGCTCTGACAAGCCCAACCAAAGGTTTTCCCATACAGTCAAACTGTTTCTCAGTTCTTACAGCGCATATAATTTTAGAAATATCTGACAATAACCTGTAACAATCGTTCAAGATTTTTACAATGAGCACGTATGTTCGCAAATCTCCTTGATGCTAATTTAGGTCTAACATAACTTCCAATCTTCTTCTTATTTGAAAAATAATCCGCTCAGATTTAAAATAGTTAAACCATTTTGTGAGCAGCAATTCATGAAATTATTATATTTCAAAACTTAACAATTCATATCAAACTATACACCTACCAAGTAATTGAATGTAATCACGTTTCTATTAGCTAAGATAAATACCAAGATGAAAGAGCTTCTACTTCTGACACTGTTCTCTCTCCTTCTGCTGGCTACTAGAGGGGACCGTTTTAATGCCCTGAAATTTGGTCCAACACAAAACGATTACATCGTTTATCAGCCTGAAATGCAGCCATTTGAGACCGGGTTTACAGTTTGTTCGTGGATAAGAAAACTGGGAAGTGCACGTGCACCTACCTGGTTCTCATACGCTGTGAGTGGAGTACCCAACGAGATACAGATAACAGATATGGGTTCTCGCACCGCCATATTCGGGGACCAAGCTGAGCTAAAAAACCTATATACCGTAACCCCCGGCACGTGGTTCCATAACTGTCTAGGTTGGGACGCAACCAGCCAAACAAGGACCGTATACATTAATGGTGCACTAGTTGACAGCAAGGCAACACCTGCAGGGAGAACTCTGAAACTAGGAGGGTACCTCGTGCTGGGTAACGAGCAAGCAGGGCCGGGTACAGGAATGGATAATGTTAATATCTTGAACGGCGAAATTTTTAAGCTCAATATGTTCAGTAAGAAGTTGAGTGACGAAGAGATCAAGGAGATGGCAAGTGACATGTGCTCTGTAGTTGAGGAACTCTACGGTGAGGTTAGAGCCATTAAGTGGGACGACGTTCTCCTAAAAACAAGGACTGGAACTGTAACGGAGATTGAAAGTGGGTGTAGTAGTGCAGGCGCCATCAGCGGGCTGCTAGATTCCTTGGAAACGATGCAGGGAAAACTTCAACAGACAGAAGAGAAGCTTAACGACACACTTGCTGACCTGGAGAACAAAGAGCAACAACTTAACGAAACAACGAGGGAGCTTGATCAGACAAAGGAAGAAAAAGAAACTTTCCGAGCCGATTTGGAGAACAAAACCCAGCAACTGAACGTCTCGGAGACTCAACAACAGATGAAAATAGAAGAACTGGACACGGTGGCTGAGGAATTAAACACTACGACCAAGGAATTGGAAACTACGACAAAAGAACTGAACAGCACCACCAGAACTCTCAACAAAACTCAAGTACAGCTCGAACATGTCAAAGGTCTGCTGGGAGAGTCTGCCAACGCTACCATGAATTGTCTCCTGAATACCACCATAACTAATCACTGGGATATGCTAGAGTCGGAAACGTTCTTTGAAGCAGTGATTACCGGCAAAAAACTAGAAGTTCTGCGCAAGAGCATGCAAAACCTTGGTAATTTGTTTCTATAATAATATCATTATTATTTATCTCAAGATAAATTATATCATTGATTGATAGTCCATTATTTCATTAATTTCTATGTAAGAGCTTTAAAAGTTGTAATTGAACTTTTCATCTTGTCCTGAATAATCATTGTAAAAAATATTTCAGAATTTTCCGAAGGGATCAGAATGACGGAGGTAATGATACGCTTCCTCGATCAGATCAACGACGGTGAAGACCGGTGTGCGAACTATTCAAACTAACACTGGAAACACTTCGCAGGTACACTATTGTTTTTGCTCGCAAATTTTTGAAATTTGTTACTTGTTCCTAACTTTAGCATCTGTGTGATAAATGTTGTTAGTTGATATATTTAATTTAATTTCAAACAGTTAGAATGATAATTATTCCAGGATGCGATAAGAGGGCCGAACAAACGAGACACAGATAGACGAAAAGTACGATCAGCTCATAGATAACGATTGAGGAACTATATGAACCTAATTTACTTCGAACATGAACTTATTATTGCGTTTAACTTATATTGGTTAATTTTAAATAAAAGTTACCAGCAATAGCAGCAAATCTGGGGAAACTTGGTGGACATTGACTTTTTTCACACAATTTGAGTATGTTGACTTCAACATTATGTTGCAGCTCATTGTGGTTAATCTCAATGTTGGAGTGATGTTTTTCTGGCGCACAAAACACTGCAGTACGGTCATGTTGAATAATTGTGGTTAATGGGTCATCTATGTGGCCACTATGGTGGTTAAAATACCAGTTTTAGGGTTAACCACCATTTTGAGATATGATATTATGAACTGAGTAGTCATTATATTGAGATCATATCATGGTGCAACTATCACAAAAGTTTTCAAACCTCATTGGGGGCATTTTGTGGTCCTAATGGTGGTTAAATTGAAGATGAACGGTGAGCTATAAATATTGCTCTGATTATAGATGTATATTTTGGTTGTTCATTTGTGCATGGATGATAATTTTTTATCACAAATGTGCAATTTAATAGTATGGTTGATTTGAGGTGGTTAATATTCGTAAAAAGTACTAAAAAGATGGTTAAAATGTCAAAATTTATTGTTAACCACCAATCAAAACATTATTAATGATTTTAGTCAACATTTTATGGTCAACAAAGGACATTTGAAGGGTCTTGATAAAATTTATCAAGAAATGTTGTCATAAAAGTGGTTAAAAGGGCTATATTACTTGCTAGGCTGTTGAACAAGGCATCTATTAAAGTGAAAATTAACCACAATATGAACTTCAGATAATGGTTTGCTATCCAAATGAGTGTATAATTGTTTGCAAATGCATAATTGACCCCAAGTTCATGCATTATGATCAATGTGCAGCTATGGTGGTTAAAATGTCTCGAAAATACCCTATATTTGCACTAATTAACCATTTTTAGAGCACATATTAGCTTTGTAAAGCTATAGCTGGCCATGCTACATTATCTAGATATAACTACCTGCTCATTTATATGACCAGAAACATTGCTGAGTCCTATGTTGCGTCCATCATGGTTAATAAAGGTCTAAAATTGACCAAAATCAGTGTTTTTGGTCGTTTTAACCACCATACGGCCACACATTTTGTTGCATTATCTTTAAAATCACTTATTATCCTCCAGCTATCTCTCATAATCAAATATCAAAACAAAATAAGGCACAAAAAGTTCGGAGGTTGCTGAATAATGGTTAATTTGTGATGGCTTCTGTTGACCGAAAGTCCAAAATAAACATGTTTTAACCACATTGAGGCCACATCTAAGGTTTTATGGTATTGGGACCATAGTCAAAAGTTTTGGGCACCTGAATGGTGACCTCTGCTTTTGAAATTATGGTGATATTTCAATGCTGTGCCATACCAGGTGGTTAAGTACGCGCTAGCGCGCGCGCACGCGTACAAACATGGTTTTTTTGATATACCACAGTTGGTGGTTAACTGTTCTACATCAAACCTTCACTAAAAGTATTGGGCACCATAGTGGTGACATAATATATAAAGAATTTAAGCCTAGACTAAATATGTTGGCCTACAGATGGTTAAGTACGCGCTAGCGCGCGCACGCGTACACTATAACATAAACAAATAAACCACTCCACAGACCACATTTATTAATTTTTTTAATTTCCTTCTTCAACTATGTGTCAATGAACCATTTTTGTTCAATAATGACCATCAATATTAACTGTAGTACTTATATCTTCACTGTAGTAAGGGTTTGGGTGTTAGAGGTATAAAAAATGTCCACTAACAAATCAGTCATTTTTCGACTACTTAACCACCTAACTCAGCACCAAAATGTTCTGAGATTTTTTTCGTTGCACTATCATGAAGCTATGACATTTTTGGACCTATGTAAATAATCAGATTACTAAAATTCATAATCTTTGATTTTTAAGGGGGGGTTAAATGCTTCAAATTGGTGTATTTCAAAGTTTCCCCAGATTTGCTGCTATTGCTGTTACGTTACATACCTAATTCACCTGAATTTAAAATATGGTTTGTGGTTAATTTTGCCGTACTAACACAAAACCTCAATCAGTAATACTAATAGACAATCTGAATCACTAATAGATTATAGAATGATCTTTTGCTAGCGGTTTTTATATTTCGAAATCGTACCGTTAATATTCCGTATAAACTCTGTTAATTTTCTTACATTCGAATTTTTCGATTTGCAGTTTGTTATATTAGAAGGAGTCGAGTTGAATATTTTTAAACAGTTTTGAAATTAAATAATTATTTCCATAGAGGGACTTGGAATTTTAATTACATTGACTAATGTGAAATTTATCATTTACCAATTAGTTTGTTTAAAATATGCTGTCTTACTTTGTTTAATAGTGAAAACTAATAAATCTATTCTATAAAAATTTACTTTTTTATAAGAAATTGGTAGAAACCCCGAACAAGCTGTAATTACTATATATATAAATAATCATCATACTAAGTTATAAAGCTACAAATTACTAAGTGATTAATTACTAAGTGATTAATTACTAATTGATTAATTACTAAGTGATTAATTACTAAGTGATTAATTACTAAGTGATTAATTACTAAGTGATTAATTACTAAGTGATTAATTACTAAGTGACTAATTACTAAGTGATTAATTACTAAGTGATTAATTACTAAGTGATTAATTACTAAGTGATTAATTACTAAGTGATGAATTACTAAGTGCTTAATTACTAAGTGATTAATTTACTAAGTGATTAATTACTAAGTGATTAATTTACTAAGTGATTAATTTACTAAGTGATTAATTTACAAAGTGATTAATTTACTAAGTGATTAATTTACTAAGTTGACTAACATTTGGAAGAGCACGTTCCACATCACAGATGTTACACGAAGAGCTGTCAAGATCTGGATCATCTGAAATATCTCCTCGTAATAGTCGACTATTCCACCTTTTAGTACTGTCGATATTAGCTCTGAAATAAATAGTAGGTAGATATTGGCTCTATAATTTATAGTAGATATTAGCTCTGAAATAGAGTACCGATACTGCTACATACACCAGTCACCACTATAGAAGTACAGAAGTATAAACCTATAGATATACGTCAATATTCGCTCTAAAATTAATTAAGTACTAAAATAAGCAAATAGAAGAGCCACGATTAACGGGTGATTACTAAAAAATGGGACTTTTTTCAAGGGTCTTTTTAGTGTCGATAAAACTATTTTTGGTTCAAACCAATGAAACAGCGTTGTAAAGCGGGCAATTTTGAACAAGTATGTTCAATGACAAGCGCCCATGAGCCCATTTTGATTGGTTCAGGAGGGCTTCTTTCTTCAAACTCAAAAATCCGTCTGTACAGTTGGGCCTAAAATCGTGTTGGCGCAGTCTCTTCTTTTGTGCCCTAAGGCCCATGTATGCTTGCTAGCCATATTCCGGGCATGGACATGTGTTGCCAGGACTCTAAAGAAGTTCTCTATGGGTTGAGATTGTCAAAATTTACTTTGGTCGATCACTTTTGGGACGAAATTAACCCTATGGGCTGCAAGTAAAGATGTGGTTTTCGCAGAAAAATACGATCTAGCCCCATCCTAACGAACCACCTTCCACCCTTTGGGGATATTTTCTTGTAGGAACAACACCAGGCAAGGCTCCAAGCACTTTGATTTTTACGTGGTACCATTATAGACCATGCTAAAGCCGATAGTTTGACCTAGCCTCGATCTTTCACACGGTAAAATTTTACCCCTCAGGTAGTTTTGAGCTCAAATATCTTCTAACTGGTTTTAGCTACGCTGATGGGTGTTAAACCCTAGTCTTAAGCATACAATTCCCTACTTCTTGACGTATGGACAACAGTCAGACCGAAATACTTCTTCTCAACAATAGCAAAATATAGCGTTTAGTCAAGATTATACATATTTTCGAATTTGCTCACGACTTCCCATTTTTGGGTGTTATCTCTAATCTTAGGGGCTTTGACACCTTTCAGACAACAAACATTTAGTCATGTGACTGCCCTGGAAATATAACCGAGAGTACAGCCAAAACGGATCACCAGGGATCTCGGTAGGGTGCCGGTTATGTGGCTCACCAGCAGTTCCTATTGGGTCATTTTCGTAAGTGCTATAATACAGGATGGCCTTTTTGTCTCTGTAGCTCTGGCTACCGACCTCTGCTGCTAAAATCGCTTTAGGATGTGATAGATAGGAAGTTTAGGCATACTCTCTGCTAAAAATTTGTTGGTATGGAAGCTTTAACTACCTGTGAGGCGACTTCTGTGAACAGTGCTTTACTGTAAAATGTTTATAGGACCCCTCCCCTAGTTCGAGACCATTATCGGGGACAAAGATCAACCAATTTGATCAAATGGGGGCGGAAACTGTTCGAGTATCGTTCAGAGTAACTGGTGGTTGTGGTAAAATATCAAAATTTTGTTCAGGTGGAAGCTGAGGAATTTAAAACATGTAGTCCCATTTTTTATTCATCACCCGTTAAAGCTCCACAAACCTGCGAGAATGTTCTCAATTTTCGGCATGATCTTCTTGTTCTGGGAGACAGCAGAAAGTAGATTCTGTATCGTGTTAAGTATTCCCATAGCTGTCATGGTTTTGTAGCTGCTGTTATCTTCGTCTTCTGCTTCCGCCAGTTCCTCCAACATTGCCTGAAGTTTAATTTAAGTTATCAGTTTGTTATTTCGGTTAATTAAAGAAGGTTAATGATTAATTTGATGAATACAAAACATTAGAATGACGGGAAAGTGCTACTTTCTCATAGTAACATAACGTACACGCATTTTCATTCCAGGCAAACATTATAAGTTCTATTGATCTAAACCTGGAATGTTTTGACGAGTTCTGTAACCAAGGGAACAGCTACAGTATGTATATCCTCACTGTACTTCTCTATTAATTCCTGAAATATGCTGATCACAATATTGGCAAAATTAAACTTAAAATCAGACTATACTTACGTTTAGTAGAGTTTAAAAAGAAAACAGTTCATAGCGAAAAGACATATTATCCATTACTCTATCGTTAAATATGTGAGAATTGAAACTTTTGCTGTTAAAACCTCGTTAGGAGGTTAGATCTATTCTGGTTAGGTCTAACCTGGTTAGGTCTATCCTCAAAAAACTTATTTGAACTTATTAAAGTCAGAATAATTGAACCGCGTAAGGACATTATCGCCTTCAATTACATAACAACTCATTAATTGTCCCAAAATTTCCCAACTTACCTGCATGACGTAGGTGAGATCCTCGTTCTCAGTCTCTTTTATAGAGACTAACAGTTTCTGTATAACATTACCTACGTGTGGTGCCAGCAGGTCTTTTGTTGCTGGTTGTTTCTAAAAACGAGGATTTTTAATCTATATCATACTTATTATTTATTAAGTATTAAAACCTGAAATAAACCTAAAAGCCAACAATGTATTGATTAATTTAACATTGTACTGAAAGCAGAATCCAACCTGCAGTAAAGACTGCAGAGCGAAGGAAGCTTCTATCGTAACTGGAAGTTCCTTATCATTCAACAGCAAAACTCTGACTCCTTCAAATGCAGTCTTCAGGTTATCACGGTTACTGAATTTCGCAGCAGCAAACCGCTGGATAGTCCAACACGCACGTGCTCGGAGGAAACCATGGGAACTGTTGAAGTCCCCGTACACGTGGGCCTGAAGCATCTGCTCTAGCTGGGAGGAGTATTCTGCTTTCTTGAGGAGTTTCTCAGCTACAGCTCCAATCAGATGCATTGCTCCGTCCTTTACACGTGGGTTGTATTGTTCTGGGGGCATTCCTGTAAAAACAGTTATTAGTATCACACCAAACATTCCTGTAACAGTTATTAGTATCACACCAAACATTCCTGTAAAAATAGTTATTAGTATCACACCAAACATTCCTGTAAAAATAGTTACTAATATCACACCAAACATTCCTATAAAAACAGTTATTAGTATCACACCAAACATTCCTGTAAAAATAGTTATCAATATCACACCAAACTTCAACTGTAATACAAATGGAGGGTAGGGTATTCCTGGGTAAATATTTTAAACATCTACAGTAAATGCCATGTCAATTGAGGACTAGTAAATAAGTAAATGGAGGAACGGTCTAGATTGTATTCTAGACTTTAATAGGGATAAAGATTGAAGTCATGGAACTTTAAGTTGAGGAACTACCTATAACAACTAGTTTACCTAGGATAAGAGTATCATTAAATAAAAACTAAATAAAAACTAAATAAAAACTAAATAACAAACTAAATAACAAACTAAATAACAAACTAAATAACAAACTAAACTAGTTTACCTAGGATCTGAGCTGCCCATATCAAAAGTGGATTTAACATGTTCTTTCTTTTCGTCACAACTTCCTCCAGCAAATTGAGTGCAGCAGTAACGGGGGAGACATAGTCCTCAAATATATCTGAAGAAATCCTGAGTTACGTACACGGTGGGAGGAGTAAAATGGATTCCAGGATAAATATAAGGGTCTAAGTACAATAACAGTGTGCTTCTAATTCACTCATTTTACTGTTAATTCTGAATAATCCCGAAAAGTTCCTATTTGTCGGATGTACTCACTACTCAAAGTGAAAGTGAAAGTGAAATTCCAGCAGAACTAACCGAACTTCATACGGATGTACTCATACGGATCCTCTGTCCATAACTCTTCATCTTCGTCAGTGTGACATAGCAAAGGGAACACTACCTGAAAGTTGATGATTAATCATAGGACTATCAGTAAACTTACTGATTCTTATAATTTAAACAACAATTTTGTTATAACATATCATGTATATTTAAATTGAATATCAGTAAAGGAGGGAGACCTTAGATTTTACATACTTTTTGAATAACCTCCAAGATTGAGGTTTTAAGAACTTTCCACGTTACTGACACTGTTACGCTAAGCTTCAGGTAGTCGAGGATTCTCTGAAAGAATGACTGTTATTTTACCCGGATAAGAATATTCTAGAATTCTCTGAAAGAATAACTGTTATTTTTCCCGTTTAAGAATCATTACAAAACCGAATCAAGTCGAATCCTGTATTTAACTACAAATCCAATTAATTACTTTTATAATTAACCTATTAATACTGGTAATTTTATTTAATTAAATGCTTACTTGGAGTACCCGGGGACTCATAAAGTTGCCCTGGTTGGTTTCAGCAAGTGAGACTAAGAGAGTGTTTAATACTGGCACTGCGAATTGAGAGGAAAAGAAATGTCCCAACTTCTTGTATTCCTGCGGTTAATAAATAATAAAGTAACCGTTTTAAAGAGGGGAAGCTCCAGCTTAACTTATCAGTACATAAAAATTGTTTGCTCATCAAAGTTAGAGATCTAGTGTAGGTATGAAACTGTAAAAATCAAATAATTTATCAATATGATCTGGACGTACACCGTTAAAAAACGTTAAATCTCGATAGTTTAAATCAAATTAGGACAGTTTTACAATATGAGGAAATATTGGTAGTGTTACTTATGATAAATTTACCTTGGAAATGTTGGTGGTGTTACTTATGATAAATTTACCTTGGAAATGTTGGTGGTGTTACTTATGATAAATTTACCTTGGAAATGTTGGTGGTGTTACTTATGATAAATTTACCTTGGAAATGTTGGTAGTGTTACTAATGATAAATTTACCTTGGAAATGTTGGTAGTGTTACTTATGATGAATTTACCTTGGAAATGTTGGTGGTGTTACTTATGATAAATTTACCTTGGAAATGTTGGTGGTGTTACTTATGATAAATTTACCTTGGAAATATTGGTAGTGTTACTTATGATAAATTTACCTTGGAAATGTTGGTAGTGTTACTTATGATAAATTTACCGAGGAAATATTGGTGGTGTTACTTATGATAAATTTACCTTGGAAATGTTGGTGGTGTTACTTATGATAAATTTACCTTGGAAATGTTGGTAGTGTTACTTATGATATATTTACCTTGGAAATGTTGGTAGTGTTACTTATGATAAATTTACCTTGGAAATGTTGGTGGTGTTACTTATGATAAATTTACCTTGGAAATGTTAGTAGTGTTACTTATGATAAATTTACCTTGGAAATGTTGGTAGTGTTACTTATGATAAATTTACCTTGGAAATGTTGGTAGTGTTACTTATGATAAATTTACCTTGGAAATGTTGGTAGTGTTACTTATGATAAATTTACCTTGGAAATGTTGGTAGTGTTACTTATGATAAATTTACCTTGGAAATGTTGGTGGTGTTACTTAAGATAAATTTACCTTGGAAATGTTGGTAGTGTTACTAATGATAAATTTACCTTGGAAATGTTGGTGGTGTTACTTATGATAAATTTACCTTGGAAATGTTGGTGGTGTTACTTATGATAAATTTACCTTGGAAATATTGGTAGTGTTACTTATGATAAATTTACCTTGGAAATGTTGTTAGTGTTACTTATGATAAATTTACCGAGGAAATATTGGTGGTGTTACTTATGATAAATTTACCTTGGAAATGTTGGTGGTGTTACTTATGATAAATTTACCTTGGAAATGTTGGTAGTGTTACTTATGATAAATTTACCTTGGAAATGTTGGTAGTGTTACTTATGATAAATTTACCTTGGAAATGTTGGTGGTGTTACTTATGATAAATTTACCTTGGAAATGTTAGTAGTGTTACTTATGATAAATTTACCTTGGAAATGTTGGTAGTGTTACTTATGATAAATTTACCTTGGAAATGTTGGTAGTGTTACTTATGATAAATTTACCTTGGAAATGTTGGTAGTGTTACTTATGATAAATTTACCTTGGAAATGTTGGTAGTGTTACTTATGATAAATTTACCTTGGAAATGTTGGTAGTGTTACTTATGATAAATTTACCTTGGAAATGTTGGTAGTGTTACTTATGATAAATTTACCTTGGAAATGTTGGTAGTGTTACTTATGATAAATTTACCTTGGAAATGTTGGTGGTGTTACTTATGATAAATTTACCTTGGAAATATTGGTGGTGTTACTTATGATAAATTTACCTTGGAAATGTTGGTGGTGTTACTTATGATAAATTTACCTTGGAAATGTTGGTGGTGTTACTTATGATAAATTTACCTTGGAAATGTTGGTGGTGTTACTTATGATAAATTTACCTTGGAAATGTTGGTAGTGTTACTAATGACAAATTTACCTTGGAAATGTTGGTGGTGTTACTTATGATAAATTTACCTTGGAAATGTTGGTGGTGTTACTTATGATAAATTTACCTTGGAAATATTGGTAGTGTTACTTAAGATAAATTTACCTTGGAAATGTTGGTAGTGTTACTTATGATAAATTTACCTTGGAAATGTTGGTAGTGTTACTTATGATGAATTTACCTTGGAAATGTTGGTAGTGTTACTTATGATAAATTTACCTTGGAAATGTTGGTAGTGTTACTTATGATAAATTTACCTTGGAAATGTTGGTAGTGTTACTTATGATAAATTTACCTTGGAAATGTTGGTGGTGTCACTTATGATAAATTTACCTTGGAAATATTGGTAGTGTTACTTATGATAAATTTACCTTGGAAACGTTGGTGGTGTTACTTATGATAAATTTACCTTGGAAATGTTGGTGGTGTTACTTATGATAAATTTACCTTGGAAATGTTGGTGGTGTTACTTATGATAAATTTACCTTGGAAATGTTGGTAGTGTTACTTATGATAAATTTACCTTGGAAATGTTGGTAGTGTTACTTATGATAAATTTACCTTGGAAATGTTGGTAGTGTTACTTATGATAAATTTACCTTGGAAATGTTGGTGGTGTTACTTATGATAAATTTACCTTGGAAATGTTGGTGGTGTTACTTATGATAAATTTACCTTGGAAATGTTGGTGGTGTTACTTATGATAAATTTACCTTGGAAATGATGGTGGTGTTACTTATGATAAATTTACCTTGGAAATGTTGGTAGTGTTACTTATGATAAATTTACCTTGGAAATGTTGGTGGTGTTACTTATGATAAATTTACCTTGGAAATGTTGGTGGTGTTACTTATGATAAATTTACCGAGGAAATATTGGTGGTGTTACTTATGATAAATTTACCTTGGAAATGTTGGTGGTGTTACTTATGATAAATTTACCTTGGAAATGTTGGTAGTGTTACTTATGATAAATTTACCTTGGAAATGTTAGTAGTGTTACTTATGATAAATTTACCTTGGAAATGTTGGTGGTGTTACTTATGATAAATTTACCTTGGAAATGTTGGTAGTGTTACTTATGATAAATTTACCTTGGAAATATTGGTGGTGTTACTTATGATAAATTTACCTTGGAAATGTTGGTAGTGTTACTTATGATAAATTTACCTTGGAAATGTTGGTGGTGTTGCCGTATCGTTCAAATATTCTCGTCATTAAGTGCATCGCCCACTTTTTTAGTTTCCACCAAACTACGTTTGGTAGTTCATCCTTATCATGGATATCTGTCACTTCCTGCAAAACATAATGTAATTATTTACTTACTTTAGGTGACATTCTGTCGATATAAAGTAATTGCCTAACTACAGGTATAATGAATTATATTTATTTCCACAAACAACGATGGTCTGATTTTGGAAATAGATAGACCAAAAAAAGGGATTGAAACTTAACGACAGTTTTCCAAGTTTTGGAAATTATTTTCTTACTTTAGGAACAGGTCTGGACATTATAGCCTGCAAGTTCTGGATCAGTCTGCCAAACACTGGTTCCGGGAACAACTCCGCCGGCATTCGAAACTGAAAGGAATTGTTCAGTCAGTAAGTTATAAAATCGATAGACTTCTTAAAATATTAATAAGAAAGTAAAAGTAAGTAAACTGCCCTAGCTTCAGACAAATCGTAAAATTGGGTGTGCGCGGCGCGCCCGCCCGCGCGGCCGGTCCATGCTTTCATGCTAAATGTTGTCACGAAAACGTCGGACCGGTAAAATAGCGTACGGCGTTCGCGCCAAAATTAACTACATCAAAGATAACTATTTAAATTAAGGTGTTTGAGTTGTACTCAAATCAGGTACAAACTCGGTAAATTTAAAGAATAGGGTGGATGTCGTCGAAAATTCCTTACATAACAGTCAATAATTAGATCTGTTACACTAGATAATTATAAATTAGATATAAATGTACAAACGCTAAAATCCACAGTGAATGACATCATTACCGACAGTAATTAATTGGCATTTACATTTTAACCGTGTAAATTTTTCAACCGATGAATAAAATTTCACAAAGAAACGTGGGGCCACTCACTTGGATGAGACAGAAGATAATCTTCAGTATCATTTTTTGGCTTGTTACACTTAGTTCTGAATCGTCCGTGTGTAATTGCGCCAACCTGAATTTAAACTTTGTCAAACACAAATGTAAACACCTGTTCTCGAACACATATCGTGTTTTCAAGTTATCAACGGATACTTTCAGTGCATTTAACCTTAAGACAGTCAGTAATATTTGACGTTCTTGAAGCCTTTCCAACATTTTGAGAGTAAGCACTAAGCAAGAAAATGTACACTGCTCGATCTTAGTCCTTAGCACAAAATAGTTAATATCAGAGGGCCAATAACTGGTTTGTGGTATGTATGTCATGTAGGTATGTAGTAGGTATGTAGTAGGTATGTAGTAAGGTATACTGTTCATAATAAGAGGTAAAAGTTAACAAACGAACACGCATAACAATGTAATGTTAAATACTTGTATACAAAATAAGTTTGGATTTTAAACAAAAATACTTCAGAACGATTATGTATACAGAATATTCCTCAGATTTCCAAACATGTACTACTCAAGATAAAATTAATTTGATTATTTGTTTAAGTCAATTTAACTGATCTCTTGACTTCTTGACCACACAAATTGTATACTACATAGTTTTTATTTCTAATCATCCTTTAACTCTTTAAGATATAATATGAAAGGTACCTTTAAGTTAATTACCATTTACCAAGTGTAAACCTAAACCGAGGGTACTCCATTTCTTACCTTTCAAACAACACTGGTAACACGACTGTCATTGCTTTGTTAAGCCCGTCTCGATCTTCAAGCTTTTTGTATTCGTACTTTTTAACGATCTGAAATAACAAAATTATATCAATTTTGGGGTAGCTTAATATTAATACCCACTCCCTCCCCCTTTTGAAGATTCACAGATGAACTATAATTAACGGCTATAAGCTGTACAAAAGGGAAAATGAGCCTGTTCCACACTTATACCAATACAAACTGACCTGATGAAGAACAAGGAGCGAAGCGAGCCACGCGCTAGCAGCACTGTCAGCAGACAAAGTCTGAACTATCTGGTCCATGATACCCGGCCAGTTGAACGGGTAGTCCTCACGCGCAATCGTCTGAGCGCATACACACAACTGTTTTCTGTGGAAAACAGCTGGTTTTTGTTTCACTTTCACTTTCATTCTTTTATTTTCACTCTCACAGGTATTTATTAATATTGTGTTTTAAATTAGATGGTGCTATACTTAGTAGTTATTACAAGCTTTTGACGTGTATAAATAATGATGATGAACAACAATTATTATTATTATCACATATCAATCTTACAAATGCCAACAATCCTAAAATAATTTAGAGCTGAAACGTGATGCTTTGTAAGATTATAACATGTCCCGAAAGTCAAATAGAATTGTACTCAAGTATAGAATTAAAAAGTTCACAACAAAAATGATTCATTAAACAAAATCAGTCGACACCAACATTCGAGATTGCATTTATAAAATTCCTGACTACTCAAACTTCCAGCCAACACATACCTGATCATATCATTAGACTTGACAACACATTCCAGAAAGTTTTGTCGTATCATATTCTTATCAACATCACTGATAGTGAAACAGTCCTCACGTACCTTCCAGTGCTTGGATACGATATTTTTGAAGTTTATCGCAGCTGAAGAGTATCCAATATCAAAAGTTAAGTTTTTTTTAATTCAGTTTCATTTTTGTTAACTGTTTAGACTTATTTAAAGAACCACAGTTCATGGATTGTCACCTTGACCACAGCCCCCTACGTATAATGTAAACACCGAAAGTGAAGATGTAAACATATTTTAAACTATAGTCTAAACAAACCTGCTTGAACAGCCTGCGGCTGTGCACTCTCAGTAAGCATCAACTTCAGCAGAGTCACACAAAACGTCGGAACTTGTTCTATCTGTATGGGATTGTTGTTAATCCTTCAATACTGATGTTTGCAATCATCATGCCACAAGATTATTCAACACTCAATAGAATTGAATATTGAATCTATTTACACTAAATAAAATAACCAGAAAAAACCAAACCTTCTTGAGATGCAGTTCAGCGGATTTGCGGATATTCTGATCTGGTGACAGGGTTCCTGCCAGAACGTTTTCTAACTCACTGAGGTCCATTCTACAGCCTGCAGTTATAATCTCATGAGCAATCATGAGTTTGCAGTGATTCTTATATAAGATAATCTAAATTTGATATTTTTTTACACAAATACTGCAAAAAGATTTTGACGATTATAGAAATACAATATATTAAAAAGGCTGAAAATACAGTTATTTGGTTTAGGCTAATTAGGGAGTTATGGTAAAAAAGGTAATGGATATCAATAAAATGTACAAAGTTAACCAGCTCTATTCCGATGCAGCTATCCTTCTTTAAAGAGAAGGATGTGTGTAAGGAGAATACTGAGATTTTCAGAAATATTTCTATATATATTAAATAACTTAAGCCACAAAAACCGCATTGGTGGATTGCTCCGCAGAAGACTAAAGTATTTTCAAATTTTAGTTTAGTTAGATCACTAAAACACCAACACAAAGTCAGCCACACCAGGTAGCAACGGGGTAGCAATGCAGTAGGGCTACATGTCTAGGTAGTCGCACTGTTACCAGTTACTGCCTTTAAATTCTAGATCAGAAAATAACCCAACATAAAATGCCATTCAAAAAGCTATTTAAAGTTTATTTAGTGCCATTATTACTGATATACGATTAAGAATTTAGTATGAGAATTGAGAATCAAGAATTTAGGAAAGTAGGGCTATAAAAAAGTTGTTAATTTTATCTGAATTATATTTGCAGTTCTTTGCCATTTGTTTGTGTGGTCTTAAATAATTTTGGATTCAAATTATATTTGATGTAATGGGTTCAAGTAATTGCGGACACAGTTTGCTATGTGTTTACCGTGTTTGGGTGCCCATAAATCATAATTTCATATTTACAGCTGAGGGAAATATTTTCGAACGGCTCTATTTTATTTTCATTTACTAATAAAAAATTTTCAAAATAAGGATGTTTAATTTAGGATAACTTATTTAAATGAGTATATTGATGTAAGTAGGGCCTTGCTAAAAGATTCGGACTCTTTTCCAAAATCAGGAATTTGAATGAAAGAACTATCAAATCATGAGACTCAATAAAACTACACGAATCCACCAGATTTATTTTCCAAAACGTAAATTTCACTAGCAATTTTGCTTTGTCCAATATCGAATTTAAATGATGCCCTTCTTCATGGTGCCCCTGATGTAGCCGCAAGCCCGGATAGCATACCTAAGTTTAAGAGAATTATGTTGAAGAATCTGAAGCATAAGCCAACAGATTTAAAGCATGTGCTTGTAGTAGAACAAAACAAAGATAATTTTTTAGTCAGATGTCAAGCTTCCTATTTTTAAGCATATGAAAAATATCATGAACAGTTATGAAGAACTTGTGATTTCAGTCTTGAGCTTCAACTGTTACAATTTCCTGCAGTGAAAGACAATACCCATTCCATATCAAAGAAGTAACTACATGGAAGGAAAATTAATGTACCTAGAGGAGGCTCTCATTTTCAATTACAAAAATACCTCTATGAATATACTGAACTGTTAAACAAAATGAAATGCCTATTATATGGACCTTTTGAATCCACCAAATTCTCAGTGAAATCACAGCTGAGGTAAAGGCCTTACATCTGCTCAAGGGGTAGCTGGATCAGCTGCGGCACTAGTGTTGAGGGGATACTTTGTTTATTTACTTTACACTGCTAGGTTATTATATCATGAACACTGAAAGAGTTGAAAGGTTTTAATATAAGTTATCTTTGAGTTTAAAAACGAGGAAGGTGCAGTTTACAAGTAATAGTTTGGATCATCTTCAAATTCATACTAAATACTTAATGAGATGGAAAGTACCTCTAGCTCTGGTAAGGGGTCAATTTACTTAACACTCCCAAGGGAGGAGTCCGAGTCAAACTCACACTTTACCGGGTTCATTGCTCCTTGATTGATATTGATTATGCTCTCTACAAGCACCAGCACTTCATCAGCTACGGCGATGTCAGCCATTCCTCCCTGGTTTTGGTGAGCTCTTCCTTACGAGCTGCTGCACCCTTTTTTGCTTCAGTGACATAAAACCGTTGCGCCACAGCACAGAGAGCTTCTGCAACAGGCTCAATGGGGAATTGGTTTGTTTTCTGTACTGAGGAAGTAGGGGCTCTACGGCTTGGAGGATGATAAAAAACCTTCTTTCTTGACACGAAATCAGTGATAAAAATTGACGTTATCGTATGCCTCCAGTGGGTTCAATCGGTCTCTTAATGAAGCAGGCCTGTGTTGAATGACTCTAGATTCTCCCTGCTGCTGTTGTAGGTCTAACAAATCATTATCATCCATTATTCACGTTTACAAAACCTGGACAAACAAAATAGAGAAACGAATTACAGCCCACGATCTTACATCTACATTTGATAATATTCTTGATATTTTACTGATATAAAATATATTCTACTGATATTTTAGACAAAGGTGCTCCTGTTGATCTTTTAGTAAGGCTTTTGACACAGTCCCCTACTTTAGACTTCTATCTAAATTGGAGGGGTTTGGGGTCAAGGGAAAAGTTTTAGATGTTATAAAAGACTTTCTGACAGACAGAACCATGAGGGTTTGTGTAGAAGGACAATGGTCTGAGGTGAAACACATGTTATCTGGAGTTCCCCAGGGGTCAGTATTGGGTCTTTTGCTATTTATTCTTTATATAAACGATTTACCTGACATTGTTAAAAATAAGATTAAATTATTTGCAGATGATCTCAAGTTAGTTTGTAATGCAGCTAACCATGGGAGTGTATCTGATGATATTTTAGAACACGAAATTTGGGAGAGTATTCGGCAGTTGGCACTTAAACTTCAATACTGCCAAGTGTAAAGTAGTTCATATTGATCTGAATAATAATCCTAACTTAAACTATATTGTAAATGGAGTAGAACTAGAAGTATCTGCACAGGAAAAAGATTTGGGGGTTATTACCCATAGCTCCTTGCTTTGGAATGAACAGATAAAGGCATATATTTCTAAAGCAAATCGTATGATCTGCTGGATTGTAAGGAATTTAGTTATTAGAGAACGAATGATAGCTATTTATAAAGCTTTGATAAGACCTCATCTTGAGTATTGTGTTTAATTGTGGAATTCAGTTGCGGCTCATGGAAGTTGGGGGACTGTTTTGGAGCTGGAGAGCGTCGGCCAGAGGCAGTTTACTTGTCTTATTGATGAGGTGGGTACTCTTCCATACAGCCGTAGACTGGATCTCTTCAATTTGACAACGCTGGCAGAGTGGCGAATAGGGATATATATTATTCAAAACTGTCTCGTAATATGACCGTATATAAGGAAGTTAATTTAATTTCTCGTTAGGGTTAGGGTTTCAGCAAATGCTTTTGTTAAGGATTGGGTTAGGGTCAGATTAAAGTGTCAATGTTTCGAATAGTCGTTCAGGACCAGCTAGAGAACAAATTGAAAAAGTCATGCGACAGTCAAGTGTAGAGTGATTAATCATCATCCGTATAAATTGTATTGACACACGCTGTAACCCCTTTTGAGCGTGCGCCGGTGTGCACGAGAGGTATACACATGTAGCAAAAATTGTATTAATATACAGGTAATTTTGAATAATATATCCCTCCCACTTGAGGTGCAAATTTTTTTTTTAAATAAAAATATTCAAACAATATACACATAATATAGCAATGACCCTATATAAAAATTCTGTAAAAATGGTACAAAGGTAAAAATAAAACCCTTTGTAATAATATATATAAAATCCACTAAATCACATCACAACAAAAAGCAGTTTAGACCCCCATCCAACTAGAGCACTCCATAACCTTTTAGGGTTTAAGAGTGTTGATCAGGTTAAGGTCCAAATCACTTATTGCCGTGGGTGGAAGGGTTCTGGTACCTCTGTACCCCCTGATAGAGATTAAACAGGTTCTGAGTAGATCAAAACGCAGTCTGCGTCTGACAAATGACATCACATCACAGTACCGTTGGCCTTTCTTCAGGCTGATCTTTTCAGCGAGATGTTTTAGGAACTGTGAAGCCTCAGTTGCCATTCCTCCTGTAGTACTGAACACCAGTGGCGTGAAGGTAGCCTTTTCAACATTGAGGACTCTGTCATTGTACTCACGTTTTTTGCTTTTCTCGTGAGATTGGTACATCTGCGAGATGCTCTTGTCACTGTTGGACTGGGCTTGAGGGTGAATTACCCTTACATCTATGAATGCCCTGTCCAGTGGCGACCAAAACGACTTCGCACTGATGTCCAGTCTTGCACCATCCTTGAGGTGCAAATTGTATCACGTCGCGACTCTTGCTCTATCCAGAGCCCTTGCGCTTGCAGTCTAGTAGCGCGCGCCCAGTTAGCAGCAGTTAGCAGCAGTCAGCAGCAGTTAGCAAGAGTTTAGCAGCAGTTTCTTTGCACTATAGTCCTGATCTTCACCTAGCCATATGTATACGCGTACTGCGTACCGCACTTGTTTCACAAGTAGAATATATCCTTTGCCGCCTTCGGCGGTCGCGCGCTACTAGCTGCAAGCGAGACTCGAGAGGGCTCTGGTTAGTGCAAGGCTCTGGTTAGAGCAAGTCCTGATCCTCCTGTGCATTGTCGATTCACTAAGTCATACTGAAGGGAAAGGAATCAGTTCTAACGAGCTCTTCTCAAACACAAGGATATATCTTGTGAACTTGGCTAGTATATATGAAACATTTGATATGGAGTTGTAGAGGGAGTTATGTACCTCGCCGGGCTAAAGTAGTGGATGACCTTGCTGTACGGCAAGTTAAACAAGGATCTGAAACTACTAGGTTCCGTATTCACATAGCCATGTGCCTACGCGTACTGCGTGACGCGCTTGTTTCACAAGCGCGCTACTGCAAGCGAGAGGGCTCTGGTTAGAGCAAGGTTCCGTACAGACTCAACTCTGCACCCGTGTCATTATGTTCATTATATGCAAGCGTCTTGATTTATACGTATTATGTCCACGATACATGACTAATACAGTCGAGCACCTACCTATAGTACAACGTACGTATATGCAGTATGACAAGGATTAGGCCGTGCGCCATCAACTGTAAGACGCGCGCGCTGGCCATTGAATGGTTTTTTAGCTCGTATTTCGGCCAGCACATTATTTCGGAACAATCAAAAAGTAATAATACTTCCCATATAACAATTTTGTTAAAATTTTGTCAGCTTATTTTCAATTTT